CAGTAATCTCCCCTTCCCCTCTCCCGCCGCGGGGGGACCCCGGCCGCCCTCGCTGAGGGGAGCTCAGCCCGCTCCGCTGAGGGAAAGCCACTTCCTCCACCCCGGCGCCTGTTTTGAAACGTTCTGTGGAGTTTTTGCTTTGAGTTTTAGTCCGTCTGGTGCCCGTTAAGCCCTCTTCACCCTTTGCCCGCCCTGTAACCCCCGTCTTTCCAGGCATCCCTCGGCACGGCTCCTCCAGAAACAGGCCCCCGCGGCAGCACCGTCACTTACCGCTGAAGTTAACGCGTTTTATGACAAACCACTCCCCACCCCACACCCCTCCCAATCTTCTCTGCTTTCAAGATGTCACTGCTTAACTACAGCATAAAAGCTGCTGGTTGACCTGAGCAAAAATTACTGAGGTGAGGTACGTTGTGGGATAAGGATGCTGCTCCAGCCAGGTGATTAGGTTTAGTTTTAACGTCTCTTGTTCTTACTGCTTTGAGAAGGTGTTGACTTGCTCAGAAATGCCAGCCCAGGCCTTTAAATCCAGCATCATACAGAGAATAAGTGTTGCTCCTGCTTTCTTTTAAGCAGCTGAAATCTGATGTTTAATCTCAAAACCATCAGAGTAAAAGAGAAAACAGCATAAATTCCAGTGTGGCTCCTGCATTCTTTGGAGTTTGGACAATTTTTTTGGCACAACCTTTTTATCTCTCTTTTTGTCTAAATATTGCATGCCTGGGCCAGACCCTTCTCCAGCAGAGTAAACCAGATCCTAACAGCATTACATGTAGATCATGCCTGAAAACATGGTAAAATTACTCTTCCTGTTGGTATGAGTCACGCCATCATGTTACGTGATTTCTTCCCTACAACTGTTAGCATTTGCTTTCTGATGGGGCAGGAATAGTCTTACACAGTTTGTTGAGCGCTTTGCATTTTTAGGTCCCATTTTTTTGTTATTTAATTGCTTTTTTGTTTGGATTCCAGCCTTTACGGGACCATGGAATACATAATGTTTTCCTGTTTTGGCAAAGCTCTTTAGAAAATGAACAGCATGCATCAAAGAGCTTTCTGTTTATCAAAAAACAGGAGGTAAAGCTATTCCTAAGTGATCAAATTATTACATGCCTATTGACCTTAATTATAGAAATTCCTTCTTCCATGTGCGGCTTTTTAAACTTGTTGCTCACCCATTAGATCACAAAGGCTTATTAGGAGCTTTCAGTGTCTTATACACAGATGTATTTTTTGTGCTAAGTGTAATTGAAACCATCTTTACAGTTGCTTCAGAGGAGAAAGCCTGAGTACAAGGACTAAAGGAAGGGTTCATCCGCTTTAAAATTTGGTGTCTCAGCTATTCAATTTTTCAGAATTCAGAATTGCAGCAAATTTTTTATAAACAGCATGGTCTTTATTTTGAAGAGGGATCTATTTAGTTGTAGCATGCTTTGGAATTGCCACTTTATCAACACTCAGTAGGTTTCTGATGGCTTGACGCTGCTCCCTGTTTCAAGTAAAGCTGCCTCAGTTGGATGTCAGCACTGCACTGTTGGTTTTGCAAGAGATACCACATTATGAGTCGCCAGGAATCAGGAGAGAAGAGGCACCCTTCAGCGCAGAGCCTTTGTACAAATCATTGACTTAGGGCATTCTAGCTCACTTTGGCACTTACCTAGTTACCTGTTTAAGAGGAAAAAAGGAGGATGGGTTAGTCTACCTGTGGTCTGGCTTACTTTCTAGGGTTGCCTCTTTCTCTTAGGTGGCTATGGAAGGAGTTTATTAGGTTTTGGCACTAAACATGTTACATTAGTGACCCTGTACCTCATGGTATGAACTTGAATTGTAATTTGTATCCTCAGTCTGTCTGTCTATGAAATAAAGGGAATGAGAACATAGGATGAAAAATGTGCTATAAACCCAAAGTAGTATTATTACTGCATTTGCCTTGCTGACAGTCCTCCTCCATGTCTGGTTCAGGGAAATTTGTTTGATCAGTTGTGTTTATGATTTGGTGTCCCTGTGTAATACTCTCCTTTAAATGGATAAAGTTTTCTGGATCCTAGCAGCTGAAAACGTTTTTTTTTCCCAGCCTGTGTACAGGCTGTTCATTTGAGGATGTGGGTTGCAACTGGCAGCTGTTTTAAATAAGCAAAGCAAAGGGCACTCAGAAAGGAAAGTTGTATGAAGTATGGTTTAAAATGCACAGTTTTAGGAAGACTCATACAAACCAGATTGACTCTGCAGTCATCTAATACTAGATGTTCATAGCAGGAGATTCCTTTTCTTACATGGGTATACCAGGTGCTGCAGCAGTATGTAGACCATATAGCTCCAACTCCCAGCCAATGACTCCTGAATAGTATGATCCTGATCTTTCAAGAAGTTTCAGTTGAATGTTGGTGCTTTAAAGCCTTCGAAGAGAGTTTTGATGAAATGTTTATCTTAGGCATGCTTACCAGATGAATAATGGGAATTTCTTTTTCTTCTCATCCATGGCATCACAAAAGCATTGGCCTGGACAGCACTTCTGGGATCATCTAAGCCAGCTTTTTACTCTGAAGGAGAAATAGTTTACCTGGAGATATTTATTTAGACTATTCACTAACTACCTCTCTTGTGAAGGTAATTTGCTCCTGTGCTGTCTCTGCTTCTTGAGTGATTGCTCTTTAATTGTCGGATCTTTGAACAATTCCTGTTGCTGCTGAGTATTATTGCAATTGCCACCAGGTCTCCAAAATAGTTCTGTTCTATTGATCTGTCTATCAGTACTGATTAATTTCAAGTTAGGCTGGGGAGTCCTGAATCCATTTGTATCTGTTTTGTCACACTCCAGGTTATGTTTTTCCAATGGGAAGAATTACAAGTAACTTTATCTTCCTGAATTAAAAAAGTCTGTCAGTGATTCAGGGTACAGACGGACACAACTAAGCAAGTCTGCTTTATTCCCCCACAGATGTTGAATTTTTAGAAAGGGGAAGAATATAGGGTAAAATGAAAAAATTCTTGCTCAGCTAACTTCTGTAGCTCTGACAGATCATTTTGTGCCCAATCATCCTCAATTCATGGCTTAGTATTATCCCCAATTTTATAGATCATTTCACAGTGTGTCCCAATAACCAGATTTATCACTGAAATTAGAACTGTAACTACTGTTGTAAATGATGGCAAAGAATTAGAGCTTAGTGGAGTGATTATTTCTTATATTTGGCACTTATGAGGCCATATCTAAATTACCGTGTCCAGTTTTGGTCTCACAGTACAAAGAAGACTAACAGACTGGACTGAGTCCAGCCAAGAGACACCAAGAGGCTTTGGAGGCTGAAGCATGTGTAGGAGTTGCTGAAGGAGCTGAATTTGCTTAGCCCTGAGAAGAAAAAGGTAAGGGCAGCTCTAACTGCAGTCCTTGCCTAACTGATGGGAAGTTACTGAGAAGACAGAGCTAAGCTTTTTGCAGAGGTGTGCAGCAAAAGGGCAAGAGGAAATGGATGCAAATTGTAGCAAGGAAAATATGAAGAAAAAGATGAATATATGACTATAAGGAGAATATAAGGAGAAAAAAAACCTTCACAGTGAGGATGGTTAAGCACTGGAACAAGTTGCCCAGAGAAGTTGTGGAATCTCCATCCTTGGAGTTCTCAGTTGGACAAACTGCTCTGTGATTCCGTGATAGACTAGAGAAATGCCATTGTAAAATTATCTTAATGACAAAAGTAACCAGAAAGGAAAAAGTATTCAAATTACGTGTCTGCAGTCCGTATTCAAAATCACTGGCATGAGACCCCTTTCTTACCTGCAATTCATGGAAACAAAGTACACAGGCATGCTAGGTTGGAAAATGGTGACAAAGCATGACTTCTCTTAGGCTTAAAAAAAAGTCAGCAGTGATTCATTCTCAGGTGAAGAAAAGTGGCATACTAGTGTGATACTCATGTCTTTTCACATTGGCAAATCTGAGCCAAGCCATTCATTCCAGAACAGTGGTGTGATTGTCACTTTTCTTGTGGCATTTGATAGTTGCTCACTATTTCTCAGAGGTAGTACTTTGCCTCTTTCAGGGTGGTGAATTATTTAAATACCTAAAAACCTTCCCTGGCTTCCTGTCTTCATTCCCTTTGTTGTTCAATTATTTTCACTTTTGGCAAGGATGTAGTTAATCTATTACCATCATGGTTTTGTTTGTTTGGGTTTTTTTTAAATTAAATTGATACTGCATTTTGTATGACTATTTTGATTCTCTTTTAATCGTTGTAACCAAGACAGAGATTTTTAAATAATGATTTTATAGAAGTACTTAATTATTGATAATACAGAATAAGTGCTTGACATTAGTTGGTAGTAATTACTCTGTGTGATTGTTAGTCATAGGCAGAAGTTTCTGCATGAAGATTATTTAAGTTGAAATATTACTTGTATATTAAGGACTGCATTTGTTTTTATTAAATAATGTTCAATTTATTTAAATTTACTTCATATTCTTTTTTGTTAGAGAATTCCAGAACTTTTCCCATGAAAACTGGTTTGATAGAGTTGTGATACATATTATCAGAATTTATTATACTGTATTAAACTAGATTATCAACATACTGAATAGTGAAAAGCATTGTAGCTGTTCCAAATACATTTATATTCTGATGGTCATTTGTTGTATTACACTGCCCTTTAGCAGCATGCAGCCTTTGTACTATGCATCAATAAAAGTGATCTAGGCTGTGTCATTAGTGAACTGACAGTGTAAATGACTGGAGAGGAAGAGTTAAATTAGACATTTATTTCAATACACGAGTTAAGAATGCCTCTTAAGAGCAGAAAAGGGTTTGGGTTTGTTTTCCAAGTAGAAAGTAATTTAAACAAATAGTCTAACGTCATGACTTCCACAATACTTTCCCACTGTATTTAATGTTGGATTTAAGTGATACATGAGGGATAGGGCAAGTAGCTTTGTGTCCAGCCCCAAAGATGTTTACAAAATCAGGAGTCCTGTGGGGGCAGGTTTTCATAATGCTGATACAGTTAAATCAGGAGTTATGCTGGTGAATGTAACTGACCACCCTTGTATTAAATTGGTGGTAGATCAGAGAGTCAACTCCCTTGACTTTAAAGGCAGTTTTATTTTTACTTTTTTCTCAAGAAGGGCACGTGAAATTTGACTTTGTGTCTTAATATTCATTTCATATAATTCAAAAGAATAACAAGCTACTGAAGAGTTACTGGATGTTTTGACATAATGTGCCTTTGAAAGACTTCTTTTTGTGTCGCTTACTTGCCACTTACTGCTCTATAACAAAGAGCCATTCTATCATGTTTGTCCCAGAAAAAAACATATCAAATTATTTTCCCTTTTAGATACTAAATTTGATCAGATGATAAAAAAATCTAAACTTAGAAAATCTATAGAGAAGCAGATTTCCCTAAGTCAGTTCTTGGAACAGTCTATTAGTTGCATGTGAATTAGGCCTATGTTCTCAAAGATATTTAGATTCTTTATTCATGTTGATTTCAGTGTTGTCCAAATACTTTTGAGGATATCGGTATAATGGCAAGAAGGACTGCAGAAAGCCTATACATTAGGCAAGGCAATGATCACTTCTTAGATATGGGGACCTACATGTGAAGCATTTGTTCTCACAAGAAAAGAGTTGGGGCACATTGCAGGAAGGGTGCTTGTGAGCATTGAGCTCTGGGTTGCAGTGCTGCACACAGAACTCTTCTACATTTTCCATGTGACCTTTAGAAATGTGAGAAAATAAAAAGGGTAGAAATCTTTTCTTTTGGTCCTTTGGAGAAATTCAGAACTTCTCAAAACCAGTGAATCTAAGGCAAGGTCATTAAACTTAAGTGTCTGCAGCTCTGAGGTATTAAATTGGGGGTTTTCTGCTAGGAAGAAATTCTGGAGTGAATTCCTGGCCCTTCTGAAATCAGTAAATGTTCTGTCCTTGGCTTTAATGGGGACAGAAGGTCATCCTGGTTATCTGTCCTGCTAAGCAGTTTCAACTTCTGTTATGGAAGCAGTAGTAGAAGACTCTCTTTATCAGTATTCTACACAGCTCCAGAAATGTAAAAAGTGGAAATTAAAAGTTAAAAGATAGCTGTATCCATAATCCTGTTCCTGTTATTTGGACTTCCATACCCTGTGTGCCTGAGTACTTTTAACCATACTGCTGCTGAATGTTCATCTCTCCCGTGGTGAAGTCTGCAGGTGATTCATGTCTTATGAGATCTGACATACGATCAGTCCATCAGGACTGGGCTGTGCAAGTCAAATGGAGTTTCATCCTGTTACAGTGCCAGTGTAAAAGCAGTAAAAGGAATGCTAGATAGAGCTATGTGGTGCTTGAGACGACAGTCCTTCTAGGAATGGAACTCACTAAGACTTTGATACGTGTATTTCAGCCTTAGTCTAACTAAAGCCCTCCATGTATTGTCCTGGCAAAGGGCAAGACCATGCTTGCCAAAGTTTGCTGGATTCATCAGTCAGTCAGGCTCAAGGTGGGGTAGAAACCACAAGGCTTTTAGCACCTTTGATGCTTTTTTTTTTTTTCCTTATTAGGATGGACATCGTATTACTTGTGCAGGAGGAAAGCCAAAATATATCAGGATGAACTTATGTTTTAATATTCCTTAGAAATAAGTGGAGGAAAAACTTTAAAGATATAGTGTATTTTATTTGTTTTGATTAAATTGAACTTTTTGAGTGTGGTGTATTTTTCCCTATGCTGTAACCAGGTCCTAAAAACAAGAGGGTTTTTTCATTCCTTATCTTTCTTTTCCATTCTTCCAGAATTTCTTTTAAACTGCTTGGAGTCTGTGTGGTTGGGTTTTTATTTAGTATTCTTAAATACAGTAATATCTGGTCTATTGTCTGTCATGCATTTCTTGTGAAAGAAACAAATAAATAGAAATGTCTTCTTTCCTGATATGTCTTGTGCAGGAAAAGGCAGATAAATCATGAATCACTTAATGGTTCTGGCAATACTGCTCTCCCTGAGGACTTGCTACACTACATACCCACAGCAAGGTAAATGTCTGAACATTTGCTTTTTTTATTTGGAAGCAATCTACAACAACTGAAGCTTTGGACTTGCTCGTTTGTAAGTCTCTTATGATTAAGCAACATGTTACACACTTAATCAAATGATTCTCTTTGGTAAGATGATGAAGCAACTTGTATAATTACCTTTTGTAACCCCATCATGCAAAATTGCCTGTTGAATCAGTAACTTGTAATGATGTGAAGCCAGAATGTATTTATTTATCTGCTCCCCCTCTGTCTCATACTCTGTCATCTTCACCTAATTTATTTCCTCTTTGACAACTTCTATGCTTTTCTATGTCTTCCCTTTACTTTGTCTTTTTTGTTTGTCTCACCTATGAAAACTTCAGCCCTTCTGTTGGCTCTTTTCTCATTGTGCCACAAGATTCCAGGACCAGATTTTTTATTTCTTATGCTTCACATATGTGTCCAATAGAAAGAAAAAAGCATGCTTATTCAGAGGGAACAAAGCTGAATATAAGGATGACTTTCCCAAAAGCTGTGTATTTTAAGGTAAAAGTACTGCTTGCACACTTGCTGCTGGCAATAGCATTGGGCATGACTCCATTAAAAAAAAACCAAAACACAAATGAGTATATTTATTTTACTTTTCTGTGACCACCATTAAGAAGGCAGAATTTACCAGACTATAGTCTGCATTGTAGAAGTTGTATTGTGTTAATTAAGTTGGTGAAAGAGGGTGAGGGGCGGGTTTTTTGTATAAATATACTTGTTATCATACTGGAGGGGGTAATATATCTGATTCAGACTTTTTTGCTTTTCTTCAACCCTGAAATTCCAGTGTTCACACTGCATTCACCCCAGGTGTCAGTTCATCAGTTTTGAGACTCTATTACCAATGCCCCTAGAGTGGCAAAACTTCTTAATGCAGGCAAGTCCAAACAGGTAGTGCATTACAATAACTTGGTCACTTGTTTTCACATGCAGTTGTTCAGGAATAAAATTGCTCTCTGTTGTCAGTCATAAAGTTATTCATATAGACTTGAGTTAGCTTTCAAGTTAAAACAAGTTTTAAGAGGCCCTAGTTATTTAACTTTGCTACTAGGGGAAGATTGTAACTGTGAATGCTACAAATATTTCTACATGTGTAAATTACACTACACAAGTACTTAAGTCCCACATTGTAACTCAGTGGTCTTCAAGATCTTGAATAGATCATTAACTATGTTGTTTCTTCTGTTTGATGGTACTGTGTTTAAGCCCTGATTGGTGATCTAGACTGTCTTATGCCAAGTTCTGAGGAAAAGAAAATTGTGCGAGGTCTGAAGTGATACATCATCTAACTAAAAGGAGATAGTGGAGGGACACTCATGCAGATGAAGAAAAACCAGAAAATAATGAGACCTTTGTTTTGTTGTCAAGTGAAATGTGGCAGGTGAAAATATTCTCCGTGGTGAGGAAAGGGATGAGATTTTAACTTGGACAAAAAGAGACAGATGTAGAGAAGAGAGGCAAGCTCATCATCAATGCAATAGGCATAGTAGTGACACTTGCAATTAAATGAGAAGGAGCAGAAAAGAGGCTGGAGACATACAGAAGATATGCAGGGGGTTCTTTTAATGGTGCACCCTGAAAACAGAAGGGATTTCTGCCACCTGGCTGGCTTTTCTTTCAGGCATATTTGTTTCCTGTCCGTGGGAGTCTTTGTGCCTGTGAGTTTCATTGAGAGACTAGCTGGGTCCCCACAGTTGCTTCAGCACTGCAAGAGATGAACAAAAGAATGGCAAGGGCCAGAGCTTTAGATCAGCCACCTATTTGCATATGTGAAATGAGATCCCCTAAGAGGCTTGGTACATGGTGTTTCAGGTAAAAGGATGATGAATGTACAGGTAAGGTTGACCAGAAAATGAGCAGCTAAGATTACATACTGGAGAGGAACAGCATTACAGTCTATTCCTTAGCATAAGTGGGATTTTAACAGCCTTTATCTTTTTTGATGGTGAAAGTCTGTAGAATGTGGGTAGATGAAGTGTGTCTTGTCTTACCTTCCCAAAATAATGCAAGATACTCTGCTTCCACAGTTAATTTTATGGCTCAATTTGTTGCTTTGGTTGTTCTGGCTCCTTGCCTGGTCAGTCCTTGCCAGTGAAGCTAACAATATTTCTGTTTTCCAGTAAAACCTAAAATTGCTGCTCCCTCATCATTTAGGCAAGTGAAAGTTATCCCCAGGCCTCCCACTTTGTTTATTCAGTTTGAGACATCTACTAGTTGTCATAGGTGCCAGGTTTTCTTAAGGTAGCATAAAACTGATGGCCATTATTTTTCAAAAGAAACTGTCAAGCAGGAGATATGTTTCTTTAAGGACCATGTCATAACCATAGCCAAAAAGGAAATTTTACTTCTGCACTTGAAGCATTTTTGCACTTACCTTGCAGAAGACACTAATGCTGTCAAATTCTGCTTTCATGTAATTTACATGTCCATCTTTTTCCAGTAATTATATATTAAGTCCGCAGTGAGAATTGATAGAAGGTACGTGTACATGTATGTGTGTGTATACTTCTTCCTCAAAAACTTTTTTGGATAACACAGTCCTGTTTGTGATTGAACAGAACAATGAAACCTTGATTTCTCCCTCCAAGCATGTCTGAAAAAGCCTATGCCAGTAGTTTCCTCTAGATTGAAAGCATGTGGTTTTCATTTTGCTTTGACTTCCAGTACCTTTCAAAATGGAATAGGTTAAAAATATAGCAACAGAGTTTGTAGATGATTTGCTAAAAGAGAAACAATCCTTTCTTTCAGCAGTTTTTTGTAAGTTGTTACTAATGGCACAATATATACTTTCCTCCATTTATTCTTGAATTATAGCCTGGACTTGCATAAATGACTAAGCTGTGTCAGTGTTTGTATTCTCATAATTAATAAATATGTTTATAAAGTATTATTTGCTTCCTTTGATTGATCAGGAACTTCTGTTGAGCATTTCATTTCCTACAGTTAATGTAAAGGCTTCGGATGGAGGGTAGTTGCTGCATAGAAGTTAGTGCAGAACAGGCACCACAGGAGAAATTGCAAAACAGTGTGGATATTAGATTGCTGCCAGAAGCATCTATCAAAATGTAGATTCTCAAACTAAATTTCCTGAACACTTGTGTTTCTGCCACTAATATTCTGAAGAAGTCTCAGATAATCATTGGGTAAGTGGGTGAAGCACATTTTGGAGAAATGACTGGAGGTGGCATTTTTGTGAGGAAGAGCTGCTGAGGTCTCCCGATCCAGAATGTCCTGGAGGACTGAGGCTGTATTGGGCCCCATTTCTGCCCAGAATGAGTTCTGTTTTATTAAAACATACAGTTGTTTCTGTGATTTCTCTTCTATGTGCTGGTCAGTGTAAGCATTCTGACCCTGTAACAAGCAGAAGCATTTTGGAAAGCAACTGTGGCAGAAGAAAAAGCCTCATTACTTTGACATTTCAGTTCCCTGGCTTCATTAACAATCAGATCAAGCTTAGGGTTTTTTTATTGTTGTTTATTTTTCAGGAAGGAGAGAACATACAGATCAGTGAGCACCATCTTTCATCTCTTCCAAGAGTTAGGGTTTTTTGGGAGGTGTGACAGAGCAAACATCTAAAAAGAGAGACCACTCATAAGGTGATCTGTAGTTTTCAGCAGGCTAGTCTTCTTAAGGGGCCTTTCCTTTCCTGACAACAAAAGGGACTACAGCCTGACTTTTAAACTTTATTTTATTCTGGGAATTAACTTCAGACCCACAAAAGGATGGAAGTACCATTATAACTAGGTGTCTAATTCCAGCAGAAGAATCAACAGCACTGACTAAAGTACCTAAGCTCTGTGCAGGACAACCAGGAATGTAGCTAATACTAGACTATCACCTGAGCTAGCTAGTGGAGGGAAACTCTTAACCTATCCTGTTCAAATACTTGATTTTCATTAATTAATTTAATCTTAATTAGGTCAGAGAGAAAAATTGAGCCTAGATTTTCTGCCCTAATGATGAGAAGGCTTGCTGGGGGTTGGAATTTCTTGGGATTCAGTCCCTGTTAATATATTATGTTGTTCCTTTCCGTAAGACTATAAAGGATGGATCAATATTCTCATAAAGTAGTTAGTAAATTGAGGGCATAAAGAAATTAAATAGCATACCCAAAGTCATGGTGGGGGGCATGAGTAGATTCAGGAACCTCATTCTAGCCTGCTGATGCCTTAAGATGGAAGATCATCTTTGCTTTTGATATCAAGAGCATGGGTCCTGATCACTTTATTTTTTTTCCTTCAGAACTGTCTGGTATCTTACCTCTAACCACTGTTGTTTCAGATCAGCTTTGTAACTTAGCTAAACATTAATATTTTTGTTTCCTTTTTGTGCACCTAGAATCTACTGTGTTTCCAGTAACGTACCTTAACATTTCCAAGGATTTAGCTCTTCAGCGGCTGCTAGTGGAATGGGATGTTGGCAAGTCAGCACATGATGCTGAGCTGGCAATGTCTTTTGAAATACAAGTCCGTCGAACAGATGAAACTACTACTTTGTGGACAGTAAGTGTATTTTAAAAAAATAGGTTTTAAGTGGGTTTTTTTGAGTATCCTTCCAACAAACTCCTATTAACTTGCTGGAAGAGAGAAAGAGTTTTTCAAATCCAAGGATGTAGTCTGTTCTGTTACTACTAATATTTACAATATAAAGGAAGCTAAAGGAAAATCAGTGTTCAGATGCTTATGCAGATAGCTTTGCTGTGTAGGTTTATGATGTACAACACAGTATTTACAGAACTGTGCTAGAAATACCTCCGTATTTCACAAGGTGCCAGGCTTGGTCTAATGTTATGCCCAGTTTTTGTGCAAGGAAAATACTGGCTCAGATGAAGAAGTCATTTCCACCTGTGTAAAATGTAGATATGACTTGCATACCCTTATTGAGGAATTGTGGTGGGCAGATTTAGAAGATCTAATTTTGAAGGCCTCTTTTTCCCTTTCAAGGTGCAGGACCCCTAAGCAGCCTCCCAGAAACATCCCTTCCATTGCTCCTAAAGGCAGTCTTTTTTGTAGCATGATTACTACCTGCCACTGGGGACTAACTGAGCATGAGTCATGTTGCTGCAGCTCCTCTCCCCTGATGAACCAAATGATAGCCTCAGTGTGAGCAAAGCCCTGTGCTTGGCCCTGTTAGCAGTTACCTTACACCCACCTCTTCCAGTTAAGGAAGAAGTAGTGACGTCTCTTTTGCAAAGTCCCTATCCTGCTAGTTTTTCTTAACATGTAAACCAGCCAAATTTTATGAAGAGGTGGAGATCACCCAATTCGTAGCCTTAGGCTGGCTCCTGATGTTTTACCTAGCTTGTGACTTCAGTGTGAGAACTTTTGTCTCCAAAGAAAATTTCCTCTCTTTTGGATCTGACAAAATCTTTTGGGAACTAATTGCATGGTTTAGGTATATTATAATCTATTATGAGTCATCAGCTGATTGAACTAACTCTAACTCTTTTAAAGCTGCTATTTATGAGAAAGCACATAAAACAGAGAAGGGCTTATTTTTCTGAAACCAGAAGTCAGTAAAATAAGATGGGCACTGTTAAGAATCACAGCTTAATGCTTATCAGACAAATTAGTAGTAGTTTGTCTCCGAGTTTGAAGAACCACATCTTCACTGCAGATGAGCCCTATGCAGTTCAGCAGATTTTGACCACTTTGGTACATGGGTTAGGATTTTTAACACCCCATGAGTAGAACTAACCCTGAGGTCAGAAACTGGGGCTATATAGCTACAAACAATTGTTTTTTTGGAGTATCTTTCCAACAAACTCTTATTAACTTGCTGGAAGAAAGAAAGAAAGAGTTTTTCAAATCCAAGGGTGTAGTCTGTTATGTTACTAGTAATAAACACAACAAGGAAAATAAACAGGGTATTTTGGATATTACTACCACACAGGAATTTATTTGCTTCTGTGTTTTCCTGAAGAATGTGTACCAGTAAAGAAACTCTGAGTCTGCTCATACCAAAGTACGGACAGTCTATATAAACTTCCAAAGCAGTGACTACATTCCTCAGTGCTATCACTGAGAAATTAAATTCTAAACTGATTTCAGCATTTTTGTTAGAGTGGTGGTATTATGAAAGCGCAGGTGTTGCTGATGGAAAGCAGTCATGTGGAGCAGTTCTCTAGTTGTCAGTGTGAACCAGGGCTCTGGTACAGCTCGTACAAGCAGCAAGGATCTATATGCGGAGGATCTGGTATGGTTGCTTTAAGAAGTACAGAAATATATGTTGTGTTCTAAGATGTATTCATAACTACAGGTGATTAATAGAATTTTCTGAGCCAATTTTTCCTGCTTCTTATGGGCTGTCATGCCAGGGGAGATTCACACTTGGGGTACATATTCATCTGTCTGTCTGTGTGACTACATGGTGCCCTGGTTAGTTTAAGTTGCTGTGCTGTGTATTGGTGCAGCTGATCTAGTGCCCAGGTAGGCCTTAGTAGGTACACGAGAGAAATTTGTAGGATATCTTCTCTTAGAGAGCAGTAGAACATTTTATATTTTTTGCTGTTTGCATTTGTATAAATCAATATAAAAATGTTTGACAAATTACAGAGCATTTAACTTTCATGATTTTTGAACTCCATTTTATATTTTAGGCTGTCCTTCTATTACCTTCATGGAGCTCTTAACAGTTTTGGATATATTTTTTTCGTGTTTCCTGCATGTGTGTATTACAGCAGTCAAGCATTTTGGGGAAATCTGCAGGTATTTTCCTACTCTGCCTGTCACTAATGATAGTACTGTCCTCAGATTCAGTGCCTCAGACTTCAGTGAGGTATCATCTACATAAATCCTTAATGGCCAGTGCAGATTCCTGCCGTAATTCAGGGCCAGGGATATGTAACCCAGAGCATTAGACAAGGTGCACTTGCAGGCAGCAGCATCTGTGTATGCTATTACTCATGTAACAGCAGGCACAAATAACCACTGAAAGTCTCTGAGAGCAAATCTATTTAATGAGAAGCAGGGCCTGACTCACAACTATGTTGTCAGAATCAGGTAGTCTTACCAGCACATCAGTCACTCCACCGCTGCTAGTACAGGTTTGTAAGCAGTTACTTAGCATAGTTACTTAGTGTGAGATCGTGTGGAGCAGGTGGGATTTCAGAGATTCACTTTTCAAAAGCATTTTCCTCCTTTGAGCTTTCTCTCCCTCTCGCTGCTTTTGATTATATTTCCAAAGCATCTACACATCACTGGCCTTTGTTTGTAGGAGTTCCATAACATCACACTTGATAAATCAGGAAAGCCTCTTCACTGGGTATGGGATTCAGACATACCTTTGGAGTGTATGTCACACTCGGTAAGAATCAGGAGCAAAGCAGAAGCATCAAAAATCTGGAGTCAGTGGAGCCTGTGGGAGACTGTCCTGGGTAAGCAAAACAAGACTTTGCAATACTGTTTTTATTTTTTCCAGTACAAGGCTCTGGCATAGGCTATCACCAGGTCAGGCACAGCCCTGGCCCAGCCTGGGGGAGAGGAGAGGAAGGGCATAGCTATGGCTGCATTATCTGATGCATGTGTTGCTTTTGTCTGGGATTCATAGTTTTGAGTGATATTAAAGAAGCAGAGAGAGGGGAGCAAGTCAGCTCCTTACGTCACTTGGAATGAACTTCTGTGAATTATATGAGAGTAAACAGGGAGTGAACCAATAATGTAATTAATGATATCACAACCCCCTTTTTTTTTTCAGATCACAATGTCTTACTAGAACAGTTTGGTTTCAAGAGAATTTGATTTAAACAAAATATGTCACTGCTTTAGAAAATATGACTACAGTGATTTTGTAAAGAAACACTATTCTTGTTTGGAGCAGCAAGGGTTTTTACTTGTGGGAGACATCATGAGTAGTAGAAGCATCACAGGTCTGTGTACTTGGATTGTGGCACATAAATTGCCCATCTCCTTCACCTTATATAATAGGAAATAGGATGCAAAACTCTCTTTCTCACTAACCTCTATCTTGGAGATTTTTTTTTTCAGTTGGAATTGGATAGGGATCAAAAATTCTATTTCTTTGTCACAAACCAATTCTGTATTACAGATCTGATTTATAGGTCCCTGAAATGTAGTGACTCTAGACTTCATCAGATTTTTGGATCCGATTCCCAAGAGTAGATTTTATCTCCAACCTGTGCGAAAGCCTGTGAGTCACTTGAATTCCACTAGTTTTTGCATCCAGCAAGGAGTCCAACACTGAAAGCCAGAGAAGTCTCATTCCAAGTTCTGTATCCCCTTACTGGTCTGATTCATTCAATGCTGACTCCTTTTAGCTGAGCTCTGCTTGAGCTTCTGAACATGACATTTTTCTAGCCCCCTGCTCGTAACCATCAACAGCAGGCATTCTGGCTGTAAGCATCCACCTGTTCATAGGTGCAGGAGGTTCATCTATAAATGCAGTTCTTGACTACACACTCTTTGTTTCTCCTAAGTGAATGGCAGTGAGATGGATTTAGTCCCTTAGGTAGTTTGTTGGACTACATTATATGTTTATGGGTTTAAGAGAAATATAGGTATGATTACATGCAAAGTTTGTCTCTGTATGGGGAAGAATACTAAATAAAAGTCCACAAATGGGTAATATAACATTAGGAGATTCTTGTGTAAGTGCTCGGTCATGTGTTCTGGTTGAAGGCTGGTGTTGTGAGCAGATTTTGAATTGGTTTATTATGTATTAATTTGCAGGCCTGGACACTTCAGATAACAATAAAACACAAATCTTTCCAAAGGAAAAATTCGTAGAGGAAGGTTCTGACATCACTCTTTGTTGCATTGGAAGGAAAGGTCAAACCATTAAGCAATTCTTTCTACTCCCAGATGTTCATGTTTTCAATCACACAAAGGGTCAAGTTGGACTTCTCACTGTGAAAAATGTGGCACATCAAGGAGTGCCTCACATCACTGTCTACTGTCAAGAGTCTTGCAATGAAGAGCAATGCTATGATAATGAAATTTTCTTTGTGGGTAGTAAGTGAATATTTTCTTACAGTTCTGTTTTCCTGTTGTTATTAAGTCAAGAATGGCTATGGGGAAATGAGGGAGAAAAAAAAAAGCTTGCTGTAAGTTGTCATTGCCCTGTTACGTCCAGCTGAACTCTGTTTAATGTCTGACATCATACCTGTACACTTGCATACAGAAAGCATTAAAGAATAGCATTGAATGTGTTCAGAATAATCTCATTAATTGATCGTAGGACACGTGACTGATTTTTAAACATACAGGAGTTCAGCTTCATTGTGTGCATGCAGTAAAAACTCAGCACAGTCCCCCTTTCAAAGGTCAGTAGCAATTTTTACAAATAGAAAACAATACAGATTAAATTAATGAATATATAACAGAGAATGATAACATACTCAAGTGTTTGGATTACAATTAATTTATGGTGTTATCCTGATTGTCTCTGAAGAGTGGTCATTGAATAAGTATAATTGAAATAATAGCATCTGTAGTAAACCAAACTTTGTACATACCCGTTATTTCTAGTTTGTTAATATAGTCAAATGGTTGATGAATTTTGCATTGACTGCCGTGCTGTTGGTGTTTTTTTGTTATTCCCTCTGACAAGAACCACCTGATACACCTAATGATTTTTCCTGCCAAACTCAAGACATGAGAACAGTGACATGTACTTGGAGCCAAGGAGGAGACACCTATCTTTATGGACGTCATTCACCAAAATACACCTTGTCTGAAGAGTAAGTCTCCTCATTGTTGTACTAACTCTGGCCTGTGCCATACTGAATAGTCATGCTCTTCCCTTTAAAATCTGTGGAAATGTGTTTTATCCTTGTTGCAATTAGCTGCATGCCTCTTTCCAGCTCAATGATCTGCTTATTTAACAAAGTTTGAGCAGTGCAGAACTGCTCTGAATTAGACTACTTACAACAAAGTTGCGGGTCCATCAGACCAGGTTCTGCTTGGTAAAGCTTGTTCTAGCCATTCTTTTGGATTAATTTGTTTGGATATCTTTCAGTAGGTATGAAGACACCCTGCAATCAGGATATAGATAACTTAAAAGTATAATGTAATTATTGGGTAACACACACAACAGATAACTAGGATTTAATCATCTGGTAGGCTGAATATTAGCATGTTCACAACCCATTGACACTAATACTGACTCAACCTGATGATTCCCAGCTAACCCTTAGTTAGCCTGATTAGCCTCAGTTCTTTTTCTTTAGGATTTTATAACTTTACATGCTGGTTGTTCTCCTCTTCAATCCTTAAGCTAGTAACAATCCTATCTCAAAAATCCTACTTCTGTCTATAATTGGTATGATTTCAGGTTGGGGTTTCCTCCCCCCCCCCCGTAAAATCTCTCTGCAGACTTCCTCACAGCTTTTTCTTAGCAGTCTGAGTCAAGGTTTCACAGCTGTGGCATATCAGATCTGGCCTTCGCTCCTTGATACAGAGGCATCTAAATGGAGAGGATAAGGGCTTTACAGCAGGGCCTGCAGAGAAAGGGGAACTCATAAACAGGACAGATGCCTCATCACCACAACAAACTTCCATCAAAAGATCTCAGCAGAAGGCAGGCCATCATTGCATATACCTTCATGGTCTCTGCATCATTCAATTCCATTAAGATATTATGATGGTGATTTAAAAATGGAAGGTTAGAAGATGCACTTGAAATTAATGCTTCATTTAAAAGCATAATGGTAGACATGTGAATGGTTTAATTTTTGGCAAATAAGTCCCTAGTTTAGAATTTCAGTGGGGAAATCACTAAAATCAATTTAAGCTGTATCTTAAAAGGGTAAAGTAAACTTAGCTGTATGTTAAAAGGATAGCAATTTAGCTGTATTTTAACAGGGTAAAAGTAAACTTAGACTTTGAAGAAAACTTCAGAGAACACCTATATTCATCCTACTTCAGGCTAGGGAAAAGAACTGGGTGAATTCTTAGAGTCCCACTCAGGCTTATTTTTTATGATGCTGTATTCTAGTTGGGCATCAGAAATTTCAACATCTGTTGACTGTACGTTATGGAAAAATGTCTTTCTCTCTTTTCTTCCCCCCCCCCTTCTTGATAGGTATTCCCAAAAACCAGTTCCATGCACAGTAAGTTGTTCTGAGCAGTGCTCGTGTTCTTGGGATGTAGGCCAGCAGAGGATCTGTAACATCACAGTGACTGTGGAAAACCCACTGGGAAAGAAAACTGCCACGGATGTTTTTGATGTAACTCACAGAAGTAAGGTCTTTTCTATGTCTTTGTTGAAGGTTTTTTCTTGCAGGCATTGTCCTCCTTCTGATCTTAATACTTCAGTGCCCCAGTTTAAAGTATGGAAGTCCTTGATTTTTATCTTCAGTTTTTATTAGTTACCTGTCCCTGTGCTATAGGTATCTGCTGTCTCTTCAGTTTCAGCTTTGCAAAGTTGTGTTAATAGTAGAAGACAGCTTCGCTCCAAAGGCTAGATTTGGTTATTGAAATGACGCCTTAATGCTTAAAAACCTGCTGTTTTGGTGAAGTTGGTCCATAGTACACGAAGCAACATGATACAAGGATATAAAATGGGGAGTTCAAGAAAAATATCTGTGTGGACTACTTGGGAATTCAGTCCTTTCTCCAAAATGTTAGTGCTGTTGTTACTCTTTCCAAAATAAATGGAGATGCACATTTTGAAAAGTGGGTAAATAATATTACTAACACCTCTACAAATGAGATGTGATACAGGTGTAAGCAGCTGTTGCCAGGAAAGAGGTGATAGTACTAACCTGTTTTGGTTCTAATATAGGACAGTAACATCCGCTGTGCTCCTATAAGGGAGGAAGAGTAGTTCATCATCAGTGAAATAAAACAGGTATTCTGTGAGCTGTGGTTCCTTCTTCCCTGTTAGTTGTGTCCTTTATCACAGTGTGTGCCAGGTCCCCTAAGTGCCTATCTACTCCTCCCTCAAAACACCTGGCTATTTCCAGTTCTTCGTGTGTCCTCTAGCCCCACCACATCCACTTCAATGTTCCCAAAGTCCTGTGGCCACCTTACCTCTTTCAAGAATCAGGAAGCAACATGTGCTTTGCTTAGTTCTGAAGCTGACGGCTGATGGACTGGGAGGCTGCTGGTGTAACTGCTGTGTTCTGGCAGCGCTTCCTTCCTCAGAGGCACCAATTACTAGTTTTACTAGACACACTTCATCATATGACTTGTAGGAACATACATTAAATGCCTGTCTGTTAAATTTGTCTCAGAGAGGCATAAGAGTTCAAAAAATGGATTATTTGGTTGTTTTGTAATGGAAGAAATAGAGCAGGAAAAAAGTTGAGGAGTAAACTGACAGGTTGTAGTGAGACAATACAATATTATAAACAAAGTTTTAATAGGAAATCAGGCTAAAATAGGTTACATTCAATGTACTAAGTACATTGAAGCTTTACTACAAGTTTCTTTTTCCAGTTTTAGGGGTTGTTACAAGTTAAAGAAATTATAGATAGTATTTATGATGAGTTAACCATTTAAATAGTGATTGCTGTAAAGTCCTTTGTGTTTTCCCTGATCCTGGACATATTTACAGTAGAATTTTCTTTACTTAAAGTTTGTCAGCAAGTAAAGGAAAACTGAAGTCCATCGTTTCCAACTCTGCATGTGGTAGCTGTGACCTTCTGTATCAAACACAAACTCCTTTGAGTCTGGAAGTTCTCAAATTCTAATTCGTGGTCCATGACATTCTAGGATAATGGCTAAAGCTGTAAACATACCATTCACTCTCATTGCCGTGTCTTATTCCTTACAATTGGACTGATAATATGGGAGAGTTTGAGATGTGCTGCTCTCACTGAACACTGCTTATACAGCAGTAAAGAATCTCAGAAATATTTTAGAAGAAGTATCATTGGCATTGTTTACCAGAGGGTAACTACTGGCAGGAGTCAATGTAAGTTGTGAATAAAATTTCCGGTGAAGAGGCTGGATTCTGAGGTGTGTGCAAACATTACTCACCACACTCTGTGAGGAGCCTCCGCCAGACCCTAGATTAGAGAATTTGACTGGATTTGCAATAAACGTCTCTGACTCTTTCTTTTTTTCCTACATTCTAAAATATTTCCAAGTCAGCACAAGGGATTTCTTTAATCTTGTATAACATTTGCTTGCATTTACATTCTGAAATTAAGTTTTACTAATTTGTGTCTGCTTCAAGGCCAGGTTGGATGGGGCTTTGAGCAACCTGCTGTAGTGGAAGATGTCCCTTGGAAGGGGGGTTGGAACTAGATGATCTTCAAGGTCCCTTCCAACCCAAACTATTCTATGATTCTCCTAGACTGGTAGAAAAATCTGTATTTCTTGTTTGCTTTTACTACTCAGGTAAAATACCTTAAAATACTTTTGTGTATATTTTATGTTTTACAAGAGCTAATTCAGATTTTGCATTGGCAGTTTATCCTGCTGCACCTTTCCAGCTGTGGGAAGAATGCACAGATACAGAAATCACATTGTATTGGAAACATCGAAACAAAGGAATTGAACTCTTTTGTCAGACTGAAGTGCTCCAACCTGATGGGAAAGTAGACTTGGTATGAAACCTGAATTTCACACACAAACCATAGCAAGTGTCTTTTTGATGTGAGATTAAAAAATAATTCCCCACCGATATGAATACACTCTAAATCTTGTGAGCGTGTTGATGTGTCTGTTTTCTGGATTGCTTTGCTCCCAAGCTCTACACCGATGTGGTCCCTGTGGGAAGCCATTTCTGGCACTAATTCATACTCCCAACACTTCTTACACTGCTGGATGAAGTGTTTGGCATGACTGGTCTGCCTGTGTGGCTCTGTCCTCTGCCAGATGGGTTCTGAGATTTGTTGAAGCAAATGAAAATACTTATGGGCCTTATAATTGCTGTTAGCTATGGCTAATTTTTGATTTGTCATGTTTTTATCACTCATATCATCTTATGCACAAATGGAGGAGAGGTGTGTTGAAGGCTTTTTTTATACTAGTCCAGGAGCTTTCTGCGTACTGTTGACTGTACTTGATGGTAGTGTGTCTGGTTTCTAGTGAGGGAACCCCAGAACAGTTTTTCTTCCCATCCTCTCCCATCTCCTTGAAGATTATTTGGGTAGACTCTTTGTCTTGTTCCACCTCTTTCATAAACAGTGAGGCTGACTGACTCTTTGCATGCGTACTGCCATTTCTCTGTAGCCCTTTTCTAGCTTGCCTCTAGCGTATTAAAAACGAATTATGAAGATCAGGATCAGGCCGTGTTCTGTCTTAAGCATTGCCCAAGAGCTGTTAGATCAAATAGCTGCTGCAGTTGACCATTGCAAGAGAGAGTTTAGAGGACAGGCTTAAAAGCATGCTCACTTTTTGACTCTTACCAGAACTCACCCTGTCTCTTAGGAGGGAGTGGGCACAAAGGTTGGGGAAAAAATGGAAAGAAAAGGTAGCTGTAGATGCTGTGCATAGATCTGGAACAGCATCCTGCTTACGTGAATGGAGTGAGACACCCAGACTCTGTGAGGGTAAGATCTCAGTAATTTCTCTCCTTGATGTAAAGAGTAGTCAGCTGACAGGTTGTGAGTGACTCCTACTCAGTTACACAGAGACTGCTGGCAGACCTCATTTTGGATCTCCCAGTCTTTTGATCTTGTGCACATTTTTTTTAATTTTCTTTTCTTTTTCTTTTTTTTTTGAGTATTGTTCTATGATTAGCTTTTCCAAGTCAAGCTTAACTGGCTGTTATAGCATCTAGAGGAAGAACTACTTTTTTTCAGGCAAAAACCTCTTGCTAACGAAGCTGAACTGAGGTCTAACTTCTGTTTTTCTGTCTTACAGCATAATAGTTCAGATATGCACCTCCATTATGCCAGTGTCACTCTGGGTGGACTGCAACCGTACACTGAATACACAGTTAGGGTACACTGTGGGGCAGCTAAGCATTTCTGGAAGTGGAGTGAATGGAGTGAAGCCCGGACCATCAGAACAAAGGAAGCAAGTATGTCCAGCCTATTGAGGAGGATATTATTTGCTTTCCACTTCTGTTTGCTATTCGTTGCTACTCCTCTGCTGTGTAGCTAAAGCAGAGGCCTGTTGCATGCATAAAAGTAGAAGCACACTAAGGAACTTTAAGAAGGCGGGTTCTTAAACAATTCCCATCCTACCTACCAGTCTCTGCCATTTCATCCAGTGCAGGCAGCGGGAAATCCAGATGGCTGGGAGGATGGACAGAGTGAGTTACAGTGTTCCATGAGGGCTGCATGAACGGTGCAGAGGTGGGAACAAGCACTTGGGAACAGCAAGCAAAGAAAGATTTTACAGGGAAATGAACCAGACACTTGTTCAGAAAATAGAATGAAGGGCGAAAGAAGTTAGAGGATAATATTTGGACAAGACCTGGGAGTGATGGGGAAAAAGAGGGTTTGAGGGTGGAATTTCTTCAAATGGGAGGAAGCAATTAAATGGTTTATCCTTTCTTCACCTACAGCATTTTTGTTTTGCTGTATTTATTGCAGGTCCATCAGGGAAACTGGACATCTGGAGAGAAATTACACCAGTTCAGGGCGGGCGGAATGTGACCTTGTTCTGGAAGGTGAGACATCACTACAGAAATGGAAACAAACCCCTTCATAAAGGGGTTGGAAACTTCTCCCATGAACTTTAACAAGTTTGTGTGTACTTACTAGCAATTCTGTATGAAAAAGTCTTTTAATAATCTAAGACATATTATATATAACCTATTTCAGAATGTATGTAGCTGTATGACGGTATGCTGTCCTGGTATTTCAGATAAATACTTCTGTTTTTTTAAGTATTATAACAAGATAAATTCCATTACTGAGATATCTGCATTTCCATTTCAACCACTATATGTATGCATGTATGGAATAAGTGTTTCTATTATTACAGAAATAATATATCCTATTAGTTATTAGTTCTAAATGCTCCTCTCATATTTTTTCAGCAAAATTTACTGAGTAATTGGTGTCTACCCCCATAACTTTTTCTCCAGCAAGCACCAAGTTTTCGAGCAAATGGAAGAAGTATTTCATATGAAGTAACCTGGGAAAAAGTAGAAGATGGCTCTAAGCCTGAAAGCATCTTCCTTTCATCAGCCTACAATAACACAAGGATTTTTATTGATAACCATTCCTACAGAATCAGTATCATGGCAAAGAACAATGTTAATTATTCACTTCCTTCAGTATTGATCATCCCTAGAGCTACAGGTAACAGCAGTATTTTCAGTTAGATTTTCATTATTAGAGTTTTGTTTCTACCTATTTTATGTGAAGCAATAATTTATCATTTTGGCGGAACAAATTAACCTGGCCTGTTAACTCACATCACTGCTATCTGGAAATTATTACTGTATTTTTGCCTACAGGATGGTAACTGTATGTATATTAAGCTTAAGTGCCTTGATCTGTCCCTTAAAACAGAAGGTCTGTTTTGCACAGAAAGTCTCCTCAGAGCCTCCTCAGACCTGCGGCAGGTGCCCTGAAAGTGCAGCCAGTGGCTTGCAGGGAATTCCTGTGTGTTATTAGCCTCTTGTGAGTTTCTGTTTATGACTCCAGGTTACTGCAGTTGAGTTCTTTTTATGAATATATAGAAATAGTTACTGGATTTTTTTTTGAGCTGCCAGCTTGCATCATACGAAGAGATCAGCTTTCAGCGTGTGAAAGATACCCTATGTCTGATAGCGAAGGAATTCAACTATTTTATTAATGTTTTAACAGCTTAGCATAGAAACTGTATTGATCTTCATTTATGAATCTGAGGTCTCATGCAGGAAAATAATAAGAGACACTGTTTTGTTTATTCCTAGGCACTGAAGAGCTTAAAGAAGAACAGGTTAATGGTACAGATGATGGTATTTTTATTTCCTGGGAGCCCAGACATATATATGACAGTTACATTATCGATTGGTGTAACTTTCCGATGTTGCAGCCTTGTGATTTGCAGTGGAAGAGATTTGGGCCTAACACGTCCAGTGCTCTGATCAACTCAGGTGAAAGCTGAACAATTTTCTTTCTGATGTTTGTGCTGCCATCTTTCATGCTGTGGGCATTAATTGAATTTAGGAAACAAATCCTGTGGAGTTGAAGTCTGTGCAGTGCAGGTGTAATTCTTCAAAGGCACGTGGCATCATGCTTTGCCTAACAAATGAATTAGACACCACAAATGTGCCAGCACCGTTAAGCCTAGGCAGTCAGCATAGTATTTTGGAAAAGTCAGCATAATATTTTAGGTAAAAAGTCTTCTGAGTAGCTTGTGGTAACATCTTGAAGGAGAATGGTGAGGTTAATGAAGGAGTTAAAAATCTTTTAGCAGGAGAGATGCAAAATGGAGCCCTGCCTTATCTGTAACACAGATCAGAAGTTTAGATTCGGGCAATTTAACACCGACTGTGCAGTGAGAGGTTTAGTGGTGTCAGTGTACTGCAAGTGATGTGTCTCAGCACCAATCCCTGCTTAGGACCAGTTGTGTGTTTTTTATCTCAGTGGTGGCCATTAGACCTAAATCCTTTCTGGCTGTGTGAAAGTTGCTCTGATACACTTCCACAGCTGCAAGAATATAGCCTTCCTGGAGTCTCTTGAGCTGAGAGTTCACGTTGGAATGAAACATGTTTGAACAAAATGTGACTGAACGCATTTCAGTATGCAGTAGAGGAACTGCACCTCAATTCATAGGAACACATGGGAGTCTGTGTCCTTACTGAAGGAGAGTGCGGTAACCTATGGAAAAAATTCTGTCCAGTTCTTCAGTGGGTTGCAGTTGGTTAATCTGAATGGGAGAGGATGTTGGTGAGGATAGCATGGAATCCTGATGCACGGGTACGTGTCTACGTTAAACAGTCCAAAAGATGACCTTTGTCTGTGCCAGGAACAAAAATGAAATTACCTTGCTCTTTGATACATTCAGAGACATCTTAAATATTCCAGGGCAACAAAAACATACTAACCCTCCTGCCCCCAATTCTGTCTTTGAGATAGAATAAACGTGTTCAGTTCACATTATGTGCACTAAGAATTGGTTTATCTGGTGTCTCCTTCAGTTGCTTTAATAGCGCAATAGCACACAAAGATTTCTAATGGATTATAGACCTCTGCAGAAAGCAGTTAAGTCAAAGCAAAACCAAAAGACAATCCATAACCTATTTTTGTAATCAGTTCCACTATTTTCTAGCTGCTTTTGTTCCGGGGGTGAGATACAACTTCCACATCTATGGATCTGTTGCTGATAGAGCCTCCTTACTGGAGAAGAAGACTGGTTACCTCAGGGAGCTACGTAAGTTGGCAACATATTTAGGGTTTGTGTATTTGCTAAATTCATCTGTTACAAACAGTGCCACAGCCTTCCTCCTGCAACTAGCTAAAAATGTATTTGCTGTGTTGTTTCTGTATCATCAGCAAAGCATTTAAAAGTTGTACAACAATGTACACGGCCTGACACCGAGGATATTTGACGAGTGCAGTGACCAGGTCGAGTCCATGTTAATTAGAACAGCTAAACAAAGCTGTGATTAGCAGTCACTGCTTTGTGTATGATGTGGGCTGTGTGATGGCTCTGTGAAGTTGACAGTGTTTATGGGGCACTTTGGCCTTGTTCAGCTTTTAAATACAAGTAAGATATAAACAGAAACACCGCATGGGAATTTAGGCATTTTTCAAGTGAGAAGATGAACATTCTTGAAGAGTAATGGCAAGTTTAACTTGAATTTCCCTTCTTCCAGCTCCTCTGGTTGACCCTAGTGTGGAAAAAGTTGAACTGACTTTCAATGCAGTAACACTATTTTGGGATTCTTATTGCACAAATGAGTCACAGGCTGGTTTTGTAAGAGGCTACCATGTTTATGTGTCACCTATACAAGAGAACTGCAGTTTGAAAGGATCTGAAAGCCACGTTCTTCCAGGTAACTGAGCTCTGGGATTTAGGAATTTGTGTAGTTGATATAGGTGAAAGACTTTGTGGCAGTTGCTGGTATTGCAGCCTCTTAGAAAGTTCACATTAGGCAGGCAAATTGGCTCATCAGGTAATATAGGGATTTCAACACCTGCTGCTTTTGAATCCTCTCTGATGCTTGAGGTGCTAATGGGTGGAAGTGGGTCCTGGGTATATAGACTTATAGCCCCCATCCTGTTGTCCATAGTTCCTTTTAACTCCAGAAAAGATTCTTGCAGTACTGTAGGAGGAGTCAAGTTTCTGCCTCTTGTGATCTGAGTTCTGGATGAATTTTGAAAACATCTGTTTGTGGTCTACTTGGATAAGAGTCATATGAAGCATGTTAGTTTTACAAGTATTTGGGGTATTTTAGAAACAGATGGGATACAATTTATTTCCTTCAGAATTGGAGCACTGTGTAAATTCCCCATTTAAATTCTTTTATAGTGAAAGTATTTGTGGCTGTGCTTTACAGTGGGAGTTTGTTCAGCAAAACTGAGCCGGGTGGCACAAAGCCATGTTTAACTTTTATATCTGATCTTCCTGCTCCGTACTCAAAACTGCTCCAGATGACTTTGCTCCATTACAATTTTCAGATGTTTCCAACATGTTATGGGATAGTTTTTTTTTTTTCTTCCTTGCCTCTTCTTCCAGTTAGGTCATGTCCTGTATCAGATTCTTCTGCTGATTAGACTGGTACCAGGCTGAAAAGCTTAGTTTGAACTGAAGGAGGCTGATGTAGGAGCTCCTGTGGGAACTAAACTAACTATAGAAGTACCATAATTCTGCAAGTAATCCCAGTTAAACTTTAAAATGTTTAAATTGAAGATTTCCTGCTTCCCAATTTGTCTGAGCTAGCAGGCAAGGGGTGTGGCTGGGAATAGGCAAAATACGCTAACCCTTTTCTCCCTGGGGTCTGGGAGTTGCACAATAGAGAGGCAGCAAAAGAGTTTTTTCAGGCAGAGATTTCTTGCTTTCAGTTATCTTCAAAGAACTTGACCTGAGCTTGAGGGCTACAGGATTCTGGCAAAAAAAAGGAAATGGCAATACCCAAACAGTTCTGTTAAGAAGCTCTAGTAAGAGGAAATTAAAACAGTTGGAGCTTTTGACAGCAAGTTTTAGGTGGTCTGCCAGAGGGTGGGCAATACTGTGGACAGTCCAGTGAGAAGGGATGTGAATTCAGCCCGGTGGCAATGAGTCACGATGCATCATCCTTCTTAGAAGAAAGTGTGCAAATTACAGAGAAGGCAGGTTGCAAATGTTCTTGTATTTCAGTGGTCTAGCGGTTTGAGTTAAGCTGATTTGTAACATTTTGGGAGACCGTATTGCAACCTTTCAGTACTTAATGGGGTGTCACAGAGGCACACTAAAACTAACCCAAATGAAGGACAAAGCTCAGACAACTTTATTTCACAAACCGGCCAAAACCACATAAAAGAAGACAAAACCAGGGGTAAACCAAAATCAGTCAACACTCCAATAACATTTAACACACAACAGGTTTGAGGTCTCAGTCAGGGTATTGTTACTATACGCCAATATAGACCAGAATGATGATCCAAAGTGAACCTGCCACAAGGGGACTTACAAGAAAGATGGAGAGAGACACTTTACCAGGGCCTGTAGTGGTAAGACAAGGGGTAACCATTTTAAACTAAAAGAGGGTAGATTTAGATTAGATACAAGGAAGAAATTTTCTACTGTGAGGGCGGTGAGGCACTGGAACAGGGTGCCCAGAGAAGCTGTGGATGCCCCACCCCTGGGAGTGTTGAAGGCCAGGGTGGATGGGGCTTTGAGCAACCTGGTTTGGTGAAAGATGCCCCTGCTTGTGGCAGGGGGGTTGGACTAGATGATCTTTAATCTATTCTGTGGTTCTGTGGTTCTATGATGCTGACTTATCTGTTTCATTTTAGATCATTCAGTGCTATGTAAATACACAATTGAAAACCCAGAAGAAAAGAGATACACTGTGAAACACCTATTGTCAAACACAAAATACAAACTAGTGGTTAAAGCATATACAGGCGGAGGAGAGACTCCCATTGCTAACTTTATATACATAGATACACCATTCAACTGTGAGTATCGACTGTGGAAAATTTGTCTTCTAGCAGAAAATACCACTCGGCAGTCATGGTTGTGAAACTTCTGATCCAAATCAGAGATGCCTGGTTTTGAAAAATTTGTTGGAGCAGAAGGGGGAGGGGTAGGAAAGCGCGAGGCATTGGCTTATGCAAGGAGACTTAATGTTTTAGGCTAACTAGCAGAGCAGTGTCTAAACCCTCGTGGTCCCCTCACAGAGGCAGCTCTGCCTCTTACACCTGTGTTGCAGCTCCCCTTAGCCAGCCTTCTCTTGTGCAGGCACAGACATTTGTACAGCCATGCAGGGAATCAAAATGGGGGCTTGATTAACCCAGAAGAGATAAAAGGAGAATGTAACATGTGTCTGTTCCCTGAGGGCACCAGTCAGGGCTCCCCCTCCGCCTGCTTATTATAGCCTCAACTCTTTGTGAAGTAGCCCAGGGCTGTGTCTTCCACCTAGAAGGAAATACTGAGATTCTTGTTAGCAGAAATCCTAGGAGAGCATGAACACTTGTGCAGTGTCTGTCTTGCTATAGTCCATGCATACTGGAGGTACAGATGTTCTGTCAGCGTCTTGGTAAAAATCTCTCGTCTTTGGGGATCTGAGAGAAAACCTAAACCAAATAGTTAAGTGAGGTTATCATTATCTTAACTTTTGGAAATTTACCCTTATAGTTAAGATGCCAACATGAGGGCAAATTAAAAGCTATCTATTAATAATTTAATTTTGGTAAAGGAAGTCAAGGTCCAAAGACTTACAGCTGTATCCCAGAGCTTCCCACCAAACTATCTTGCAACCACGGACCACACAGTTTTACCAGTGAGTTAGTGGCAAGTATCCCACGTGGGCTTGATGTTATTTTTGTCTCAGAAACTCAGGCTATATTGACTTTAACAGGTGAGAAGTGGAAAACAGATTTTTATTTTTCTTTCACAGCAAACATGCTGTACCTTCTAGTCCTGCTAGTGTTGGTTCCAGCACTAGTAGCAACTATATGCCGCTGGAAGATGAAGTGGTAAGTTGTAATGCATTTTTCTGTTGTAGGCAGAGAATGTAACTAGTGTAATTCACAACCCACAGCTGCAGCTTGTTGCTTCCAGCCTGTTGTAAGGCCTCTTGCATTTTTTCCTTTGGCTGTCCAACTGTGCGGATGTTGTAAGTATTTGGCTTGCGGCATTTCTGGGACACTCATCATCTGCTGCTGTTTCTGCACACATCTACGTGTGGCTTCTACTGGTAGAATATGCTTTGATGAGAGAACAAAAACATCATTTGTTTTACTCTCTTATTTCCAGGGTGAAGGGGTGCTGCTGTCCTGTCATACCTAGTCCTCACAAGAGCAAAGTGCTGTCATTCAAAGAGTTTAAGGTAAGATCACTGAAAAATTTAATTTTTCCATTCTTTGATTAGTAAAGTTTCAGAAAACTACGTCTGTTGCTGTAAAAAGTGAAAGCATAATTGGGGTATAAGTGAAATCTTGTGATGCGTTAGAAGTAGTATTGCTGTTGAAAACCCATCACCGTCTGGACACGACAGACCAGACGATACCGCGCTTTGCTGGGCCTGTGGACTGTATCCCCCTGCTCCTCCTGCCCTACAGGTCCCTCTGCTGTAGGGCACAGCAGAGCAATGCACTCGTTTCAGAATTAGTTGCAGGGGGTTCTGCCAGGTCTGGCTGGGAGGGAAGGACTGGCAGAAGACCTTCCACTGCTTCTGCTGGCCCTTCGAACCAGGGGCTGCTGCTTCCATGCTGCATGCAAGGGAGTTGCAAAACCATGAGTGTGCCTTTACCCTGCATGCGTGGGGCTGCTGCTGTCTTTGCTGCTGGTGCTCTGGAACACCAGCACTGGCGGGAGGAGTCTGTACAGCCTCCAGTACTGCCGTCCAGTTGCTACTGTTTCAGACTAAAAACCCTACACAGCAAAAACCTGGCCAAATGATTTTTTTACTCTTTGAAGTAGAGGGACATTCTTCCTTCTTCAAATGTAGTCATATTGAGTTGACTTAAAAAAGAAATCTCTAAGTACCCTGGTAAATTCCACATAAAATACAGCATCCAATGAACATTCTGTACATATGTTTTCTTTCAAACTCTGTTCCTTTATTTGAAAAGTCCAAACTAAAAAAAATGTGTAAGACAACATTAGAAGTGCATGAAATAATCACTCTATTTCCTTTCCTCTGGGGTTCTTTCATTGAGTAATTTTTTTGTTTTATGATTCTCTTGTAGATCAGTTCCGAGAAAGTACTGAAAATAAGTGACTGCATTCCTGACATGCTAGCCGTGGACAGCAAGGCCGAAGTCCACAAGTTGCACGTATGGAGCCAGTTGTCCTCAGTGCCAACAGAAGATAAGATTGATGGTCACAGCTCTTCCTGGATTTACCCTAATGAAAATGAAGAGAGAGACTTCACACCCACACCTACACCTCAGGCTCATACTTGGTTTGAAAATTTTGCTTATTCCTCTCGTCTTGCAGTTGACTCTGATCCCTATCAAATACCGCAGACACCAGAAGCAAGCAAGCCAGAACTGTCAGTAGTGCCGTACCAGCCACACTACTATGACATTTTTAATCACGATGCTGCCTCAACACCCAGAGAAACAGCCGGCAGAACGACCAGTCTGAGATACATTTCACAAACAAACGTGCACTGCCTAGGGAGGAGGCTTTGACGTACTCTCTCCTCCACCGAGTCCAGCCCATGTTTGGTTACGTAATATAAATAAGAATTTTGAAAACCACAACAACTTTCTCCGTTTGATGAAGACTTTCACAAGCCCAACTGCCCTACTTCTGTTAATGCTGCAAAGCTCTTGCTTCAGGACTAGTTTAAAAATACTGAACGTGTGCACAGGAATGATGCTTGCTGTGGTTTCATCACAAGTTGCAGGCATTACGTAAGGCTTACAGGCTGTTTTGTGCTGTGTATGATGTAGAAGGTTAGATCACAGCAGTTTCTCATAGCCTGATGCGAGGAACTACCGTATTGTGCAGAGATTAAAAATTTATTCACAAAGTAGAGGAGGGAGTTAAACAAGCAGGTAGGGGGTTGTGCCCAAGGAGCATGTTTCACTTGCAGCCTTCTGCGTGCGCTCACTGGGTGCTCTGGCCACCCATAGCCCCTAGCAGTGCCCAGCTTTGGCATCCACCTCAGCCCAGGAACGGGGTTGTGTTTTCCCTCTCTCAGGTGGTGTAGGGAGCCAACACGGAAGGGTTACCTGCGTTCAGTGTGGCGCATTACTGAAAGATTAGAAGGAACTCTAGTAGGAGTGCACCAAAATCCAGTGATCGTCCTGCTCTTATTTCACCTGTCTTCTGTCTACACTTGGTGGGTGAAGGAGCACAGAGAATGGATTTTTATAGTACAGGCCCCCTGTTTGTGGGCTGCCGCTCCCATTTCCGGTAACTGGGGCTCCCCCCACTTCTCCCTTCTTTGCCTGGAAGAATGACCCTTTAAAATCCTGAACAAAGTCCTCTTAACTAAAGAAACATGGGGCATTAAGGGGAAGGGAACTGTTTTTTCCAGCAGGACAGCTGTTTGCAGGGGTGTTACCATGGAACGGTCTCCCCGCTTGGGCACATGAACTTAACTGCTTTTGGCGTTGCCGCCGGCACTTGTGTAGCAGGCCCCAGGCAACCGGGTGAGCCGGCACGGTCGTCGGAGGCATCGGTGTGTGAATCCCATTTGTGAAGAACAACATACTCAGGTTGCACATCAGCTAGATCTTCCAATGCTACTTTTGCATGTATTTAATATAAAAAACAAGATATGGAAAACCCAACAATCTTAATTGTAATGCTCAGAATCCCTACAGTAGGCAGTGCTGAATTCGGTCTTCCATTTTTTTTTTTTTTTAAAAAATCTGTACCTTTGTGATGAAGCAGAGTAGTTGGAATTGTATCTGAAAGTCTCATCAGATCACCCTTCTTAGTGCACAAGGAGCCCCTTGGTTTTGCCCAGATGTGATGCTGTCTGGACTCTTTCACAAATAAAAAAAATTCAACCTAAGAGCACAGAATAAGCAGTTCTCAAACGGGACAAATGAAGTGGTTTGTTTTTTTTTTTACAATTTGATCTTCAGCTAACATGTGAAAATGCAGTTATTCGCCTTCTCTCTGTTTAACTCACTAATCACACTTCCTAAAAACTGAGCAGCTGCCGACAGAAAGGAGTTTTGATCCTGAACCCCATCTAGGTGTTACGCTGTTGCTTATAGATACTGTTGTAATGCACATGAGCTGTCTTGGAACAGGAAAACCAGCAAGACCTGACCTCGGCTTTGGCCAAGACGAGCATTGACTGCAAAGAGAGGGAGAAGTCGCCTCCAGGCAGGCAAAGGTGAGGCCCAAAGGTACAGACACAAACAGCTCATTGTGGTTAGAGGTATCCGGCCAACGCACACTGTGCTGCGTCCAGGTCTAAGTCACAGACAGATTTACTTGAGAAGCAGGGGAAAAAAAAAAAAAACCCGCAGCGTAGTCCTTTCTTTCAGCCTTCAGACAGGGGAGTAAGGACACACGGCCGGTCAGGCTGAGCTGAGCTGCCGTTTGAGGGAGGACAGGGGAGAGAGGGGGCGGACGCTGTTCGATGGAGACACCCAGAGAAACTTCTCCTCCCTTTACGTTAATTTCCTTTGAGTTACAGTGAATGTGGAAGTTTGATACCAGGGGATGTTTATGACCTAGAACATTTCCTTCTCCAAAGTGTTTCATCACATCATACATTAATTGTGTAGTTTAAAAGCTTTACTGCAGGGAAAAGGCCAGTAAAGAGAAGGGAGCTGTTTTGCCACTGCTGAAGTAAAGCGTCCTGGCTGTGCATTTCAAGAAAAGGCCTGTTCATTTAAAAAGGCTGGGAAGGAAGCCTAAATTCAGAGTTACACATCTAAGGAATTCTGGTACAGAAGTCAGTCAAAAAAGTCAGGACTATCCCAAATTTCACCATGCAGCAGCTCCTCATGCCAGAGGGCAGATGTAACAATGCACAAATGCCTACTTTGGAGAAAGCTGCTGTGGCTGGGGCTTGGCTGCAGTAATTCGGCTCAGGGAGCGGCGGCGGGGTGAGACACGCGGGCCTGCGGAGAGTTCCTGCCTCGGGCAGCTCCCGTGGGCTTTCCTGGGGAGATCCTGCACCGGCCGCGAAACCTCGTTGTCTGGAAGCAGGGAAGCACCTCGCCAGGCGCCAGGGTGCTTGGCGAGGTGAGGAGAAGCTACCTCCTCCCCTCCTATAAACCCTGCCGCTCCCTGGCCCCGGTGGGGGGAGGTCCATGAAACCACCTGGGCTAAGAGCACACAAACAGGGGATCCCCAGGAGGCTAATGCCCTCCCTCCCTCCCGCCACAGGGTGCAGCACTAAAGATCAGAAAAGTGTGTTTGCATGGATGGGCAGGGGTGTAGAATTTTTTTACTTTTTTTTTTATTTTTTTTTTTTAAGACATCTGTCTTGCATTAATGGTTGAATGAGTTCAAAACTGTGAACTCCTGTCATTTTTTGTTTATAATTCAACTTTCACAGCTGTTGTTGAAATGCTAATGCTTAAGCCTTCACATAATGGAAAACTATTCATTCTCTGTATCAGTATGCTAAGTTTTTAAAATAAAAATGGTGTACAAACTACTAAAGGGTCCCCTTCTGTTTTTACAGGACCTCTTACAAAGCATTAATGTAAAATATATTTTTGACAAAAAATGTTTATTTGGAAAGCTTTAGGTTGTTCTAGTTAATTAGTAACTTACAAATGTAAATAAAATTCCAACCCATTTCTAGCGCTGCGAGGTACATATGAGACCAGAACAAATATAAGTTTAAGTACATTTTATTAACAATGCATCCCTTTGATAAGATTACGTTTCAGGAGGCTTTTAATGCCCATTGACATGAACTGTACACACTATACAAAAAAAAAAAAACAAACCCAGAAAGAAAACCACACAAAAAAAAAAAATCAACATGGGCAATAGCATTTTGGGACAAGCCTCTGTTTAAATTATACACAGCTCAATGCAATATTCTTATGGAAAATATATAAATACTTTTTCTTTCTATGTTACAGGTATACAATATAAATCAGATTTCAATGTCTGTTCAGTGACCTACAAACACTAGAACCTCCAAATACGTAGCAGCGTATTACTAAATAAAAAAAAAAGACCACACAGGACAGGGAGAATAAATCTCGAGATTTTCCTTGATCCCTTCCCTCCTCAGAAAGATTAATTCAGATAATCTCTTGTAATACAGTTTTAGGGATGCTGACAGCCCAGTATTGGAACAATTTCTCAATTAAATCTACAAAATGTCTGCCTTTCCCCCCTTAGACATGGCATCTTGTGCTAAAACACCCTATTCAGTGGCAAAATGGCATCTTACACTTTTTGGCATAAATTACATTTCTGGAAATAGTGTATTTTACAAAGCAACTCAAGCAAAATGTGCAATTTCTGTATGCTGTGGCATTGCTATCCATCTATATCACAAAAACAGTCCAAAGAAAATCCACGTTCTTTACTGAGAGTACGCATCTGTTGAAAACAAAACTACCCAGGAAACCAGAATTAGGAGTTAAACAAAAAAACAAGGAGATGGGGGACTCCTCGGGAAATTCAAACGTGGCGTCTAGCGTGTTCCCAAAGGTCTTCTACAGTTCCTGGTGCTTACTCTCACCCAGCAGAGCCTTTAACAAGCATGTGGTAACAGAAGTGTAACTTAAAAAAAAAAAAAAAAAGTTACAGGACCTGCTTTCAGCCGGCGCCAGTGCAGCTCTGAGGAATGGGGCTTGTGCGGGGCCCTGCCGGGCGGCGAGCAGAACCCTCAGCGATGCTCCAAAGCCCGGCAAGGGTTCTTCCACTGCGACTGCTCAGCTTGAGCTCACGCTCACTTACAAGGTAACACCAGCTCCCTGCAGCCCGAAAAGCCAAAAGCCAAGTTCAGGGCACAGACTAAGAAGCTGCAACAACCCTTTCACCTCTCACTGGGCTTTGATGACTGCCCGCTTCTCCAACCTTTCTCTTGAGGCACCTCGTAAAGGTGCTGTAGGTTTTTTTAGTCTCTGACTGCAAATCACAGCTCTCATTCACAACCACTACATACGTTCCAAAATAAAATGACAAAAAAAGACGAGGAGGATTCTCACCACTGGCTTTCAAAATGCTTATGGGGGCAGCTCACCTCAGCGCCCCAAGCCACTGCGCCCTGCACCACCGAACACTTCGGGGCTTCGTTGCGTCTCAGGGAGAAACAACAGCAGAACCCAGTGAGAGCAGGTTTGTGTCAGGTCAAACAAGGACTGTCAGATGAGGAAAAGCGACTGTTTTCAAATACAACGTGCCAGGGGCCCAACACACAAGTTAGGCACCCCAGAGCCTGAGCTGGGAGCATTCGGCGCCTCTGAATTCCAGACAGCTGAAAAGGTCTCTCCCTCCAAAAGGAGACCCACAGCACCCGGCCTCCTCCTCCTCCTCCCCGCCCCGTGGAGAGAAGTGGGGAAGCGGCTGGGAGCCCCTCGGCCAGCGCCCTGCCCGTGGGAAAGGGCTGTAAAAGGAGAGCTAAGAACAGCCGGCCGGCCGCTGCAGCAGGCCGACGGCGGCCGCTTTCGCAGCCAGCCGCTCCTTCCCACAGCGGCGGTCGCCTCAGAGCCCAGTATTCTCTGGGAGCACGCCGAACCGTTCAGGAGCTTTCTTTGCCACAGCAACCAAGCTGTATTTCTGTACGGTGTAAGCGAATGCTACGTGCTTTAATATGCGATATTCGACAGCATCACCAACCGTCGCGATTGGAAAAACACAGAGCAGGTGGTCTGTCAGCTTCCCTTGCAAACCCTTCTAGGAGAAGTGGAAGGATTCTTTATTAGGGTTCATGAAAGCACAATTTTTTATTTACTGCTGTTTAGAAGTTTTATCATGAAGCAAATAAAACCCCAAAACAAGAACTTTTTGAGGGATATTTTCAAAAAGAAATCTATAGAATTATAAATTCACAGTTTATAACTAGGCCAATATAAACTTCCTTCAATAACAGTATCCCTTCATTTGCCAATTAAAATGAAACATTGATCTGAGCTTAATGTTAATACGCAAATTAACTCTAGAAATGTTGCATGTTATGTACAGTACAGACTTTACATCCTTGATGCATACTTGTTGAAATCTGCTGACACTCATACACTTTCGGAAAACAAACCACGTTTCGTAACTGAATTTGCAGCCATAATTTGTACGTCAAGTTTCTGTCGTCATGGATCCCCACGCAAGCGAGTACTTCAGAACACATAAGCATTTCAGGATGGAGATACTTTAAAAAAAAAAAAAAATACATTGACATAGTTTTTTCTTACCTTTTTATAATCAGAGGCCTTCCTACGGTGCCTTCTAGATTAAGTGCTATGGGTTAAACTGGTAACAAATGAATGAAGGTGTTGTTTTTAAATACAGGTGCTAAAACTTGTTTATTTTGCTTTAACTGCAGAAAAATAACATGGAGTTGTTTGACGTAACCCCATCTAGTTATTAAAACAAATCTCTCATACTCTAGCCTAACTGAGGTAGTGTTTGAAACTACTGTATAAGGTATGCTAGCCCCATTTTTGGGAAAACTACGTTATTTCCTTTGGAGTTTATACCACTATTTGGTCTACTGTGATTGACATTTTGGTTTTTACAGAAGCATTTGTCCAATAGTCACTGGTATGGTAATGTTTTCAGAGCATTTCTAACATGCCTTGACACATGGATATATTATTTGTGTCAACAGCCATACAAGAGTTCAATCAGTTTCTTTTTGCTCCTCCTTTCAGTGGGAACTCATGAAAAGATGACCTTAGGAACTGAATTTGACCATGAGCAGCAACTTACAACCTGCTTTACCAGAACCTGGTGGTATGCAGTGCACATGAGAACTCAGTGAGGTGACAGCTGCAAAGCAGTGCTTATGTGGCAAGATGAAATTTCCAATAAGAACAAATAAATTCTACTTTTCACTAGGAATCGTGTTTTACTGTTCACAGGACTACTTATTGAAATCTCCAGTAGCGTAGCTAGTACGAACAGAGTTATGAGCATCAGGATAAATTTCACTTATCTTCACTTAAGTATTAATCTGACAAATATAAAAAATGGTAAAAGTGAGTGGATAAAAATACATTCTACTTAGTACAGTCCAGCTGAATTATTCACCTATATCAAAATCAAAGGGTAATCCCTTCTATTACAGGCATTCTAGCAAAGGTGGCCATGCTACTGTATATACACATTTGCATATATTTATATTACCTTTGTATAAAGGCTTCTGAATCTTTAGATCCATGATAAAAGTGACAGGGATTCTTATTTTTTTTTTTTTTTTAAGCTTGCACTCGTTAATTTAGAAACCTCACCAGTAACGTGATAGAGGCAACTACTTCAGTCATTAACAGTCACTGTATCATTCAACTTTTGCAACAAGTCTTAAATACCAGTATAAAATTTTAAGTACTGCTGCTCCAAAATTTGGTACTTAAGGCTTTTCACTACAATTATTAGTACTATCTGATGCCTGATCACTCATCCATTGAAAATTCAAATAAACCTTTGTTTTTATAAAAGGTTGCTTCCATGGAACTTGGAAAACACATCTTCTCACAAAAGCAGCAATGATTAAATGTCTTCAAGTTTAGTTTATACAATATTCATTTATCTGACACAAATCATGCTTTTTAAAGGGTTTTAGTTAAGAGTTAAGACCAACATTTGTACTATATGAGCATGAGCGTAGAAACTGCAAACACATGCATATCATTCAGGGAAAACAATCTGATTTCAGCATTTTAAGTTTATATGATTTGTTATTTTTAAAATCAAAAACTGTAGTGAAAATCCTTAACTGGTTCCGGTAAGATACGCGTACGTAAATGTAATGAAACTGGAGAGACTGCTAATAGAATGACTTACAACTACAGCAATATTAAAATAACTTAAAGGAAACCTCAGATTCACAGAGGCTTTTCTTTCTGTCTGAAGTTACAAACCCCCAAGTAGTGTTATAAACAGTACAAAAACCAACAGGCTAACATAGATCCCCTTGTATCCACGACTACAGCGTGGCTCCCCATTGCTGGCAATGGAATGCGCCCTCGTCTCTCTGATTCCTGGTGTCCAGGGTTCAAAGAGCAAGGCATCATTCTGCTTCTCTGGAACAGAATTGGAAGTCAATCAAAAAAAGATGTCTCTGCATGTTGTCCCATTTTTTTTTAATTTATGGTAGAAAATGAAATGAAAACTTGTGGAGGTGTTCAGTGCTCGGCTCTTGCATATACTGGTAATTACTATTATTAAAACTATGGTAATGTTTCATAACTCCCCAAAGGACTCAAAAGACTGGGCCAGTAATTGGTTGAGGAAGAAAGTTTTCAGTTCAGTCTTCAGGTACCAGTAGCTTCTGGAACGGTCTAGAAGATGATGCTCCAAGCTTTTTATCCAGTCAGTCAGAGGTTGTCCGAGGATTTCAGAAAGTCTATATGCACCGTGTGAGACAAGAGGTCAGGACTCCACCGATGCATCGATTACTGGCTGTTTTGTGGGCATCGCTAAAATAGCCTCTGCTTCGTCATGCATCTAAACGAAAAGACAGATGAAGAATTAATGTTCCCAGATTTTGCTAGAGAGACATCACAAAATGGGTTTCCTTTAAGACATATCTGAAAGCATCTTTTATTCACAACACGACACCTGCACCCAGCCGGCACATTCTGGTGTATTCAACGCATCGGAACCCTCCGCTTACTTGTAAGAACTGTACATCTTGAAACAGCTCCTGAATGAACCTTCGAGACGGAAGGCGAAATGTACAATGTGCTAACAAGTAGGACACCTCAGAGTAAAGGCATATGTCATCAAATGCTTGGGGATACTTCTCCTTAATTCTGAAAAACAGAAAAAAACAAAATTTTCTAAGTCTTGAACAGATTTCCATCATATTTTAAAACAAACGTGTTCAATTAGATTTCGAATGTCATCATTAACAAAGTAGAACTCTTCGGTAAGAGGCATTATAAATCTGAAGAAGCAAGAAAATCAGAAGAGACAGCATTATTTTGTACCAAACTGGAAGAAATCTGTATTAATAAGATGAAACAGATTATGTAATCTGAAATTGTACGGAACTGCTGAGATCGCCTAGTCTTAAAAGAATAGATGTTGAAAAAAGAACTGTGTATCAAAGAATTGGCATCCACATGAATAGCAGTAATGAAAAATATGGAAAAGATAACTTAATTACCTGTTAGCATTTCTGAAACTAAAATGAGCATTTCTGCATTTTCTTTTAGCAGTTGCATGTCAGTTTCCAATGTCACTAGCCCAGAAACCTACAAGTTTTCTTATAACATTTGGTGCCTGGATTTATATTCCTATATTTTAATGGGATTTTTTTCTAAAAATTAATTCCAGTAGTTGTACTCTTGCTCAAAGCAGATTTGTGTTTCTCAAGAAGTTACTTTCAGTTTGTTAGTCTGCTTTTCTGATATGTATTATTGGCACAAATAACAAAAATAATTATAATTTCTTTTTTTGCACGATATACTGGGTATGTAATGAACCATTGCTACAGCTGAATTACTGATTTTGAAAAGACTGGGGAAGAGTAAGAAATTAAAGACAGAGCAAAAATATCAAAAGGAAAATCCTTTGCTTAGCTTTTATGTTACGTTCAGTCTTACCTGCTTGACAGTTTTTTGAGCAGTCAGAAATAAGGTTAATCACCATCTGAGAGATCTTTGAGAACACATACAACTGAATGCTGCTAAAACATCTGAAATGTATTGAACTTACGTCAGGAGTCCAGTTTCATGGCCCTTAGTTCCTACAGAACTACTCAAATTGATTACTAAACGTAAGACTTCTTTCCGCAGAAGGATTCTGCACACTGGTGTATCATCTGGGATTGATTTTACTCCTGGAAAAACAAGTTAACCAGTTTGGAGTTTAAACAGAATAGTTTTTGATTGTGCTAATCTTATGCCACGTAAGTCTGTTTTAGCATTCCAGAAACACACACATGGATGTTTATGCATGTATTCTGACCTATCAACAAGTATTTCCACTGAAATTGAAACTAAAAAAAAATACTATTTTAAGAGAAATATTTTTAAAAGATAAACAACCATTTCATTAATGGAAAAACATTTAAGGTTCAGTAACAGTGCTCTCTCTACCATGAAATGATGTTGCAAACTGGCTGAGTGATTATCTGCTGTTTCTCTTAGACGCTAGAGAAGTTAGCAACCAGCTACTTCGTAAGAAATTATAATTCAAAACGTAAAACACAAGCCTAAAAAAGAAATATCTTTCTCTTTACAGAAATTCAGTAACTTATAAAAAAAAAGTGGTTTTTTGAAACTACCACCAGTGTGGAAAAAAAGGCAAACAATTCGCTTGTAATGTCAGATACAGAGCTATTTAATAACATGCAGAAATGCTGTATAGCAAAAGGAGAAGAGTTTAAAAGTATGTTCTCCCATCTGGAGATGGTGGTTATTTTTATTCTTGTTATTTTTTGGGGGTTTTGTTGTTGTTGTTGTTGTTTTGGTTTTTTTTAAATAATGAGCACTACTTTGTTGCAGTATGTATAAATGAAATATTATTTTTCCACAGTACCTACCTAAAAAATCCTATAAGGGTTATAGTCTCTAATAATCTTAAGGCTTTCAAACTTACCTAGTACAAGCTCTGTACTCTTGGTGCTGCTAGCTGAACCATGGGATACTGCATCACTACAGCCTGAAATTCCAGAAAATTTGGAGGAATGCACATCTAAGTGATTGTGTATGGTCTGCCCACACCAGTCAGTATATGGAATGTCTGAAAAATCTGACATAAATAAGAAGTTGCATCTTTGTTATTCACACTTTTCCTCAATTCAAATGCTTTTCTTATTTTTCAACAATGGTAAGCATGGAAGACACTAATGCACACACTAAGTACTTTGCATACAAATCAAGTGGAACCTCAAAATGTCTAAAAATCACTTTTTTAAAATCTTGAAGTACTTGAGTGAAAACAATCAACCCTTTTAGACACTGATGGAAGCCTAAGAACTGTCATCACCACAGAGCTCTTACTGATATATCTGTGCTTTATTTTATGTAACATACAGATGCTCTTGCATATGCCTAATTTTCTTTGTTTGTACAATTATCACAGGTGTTGCAGAAAGGGCTCTGACTTCATCAACAGAAAGATATGACAATAAGATTCTTCTGGGAGGTTTCACTATTCAGAGCCTTTGGCATTTTGGATTTAAAGAGACGAATATAAAAATCCAAGCTTTTGATTGTTGTGCAATTAACAGAACCAGAGAAAAACACAGATCTGAAGGGACTCCTGGAGATCACCTAGTTCAATCCCTTGCTCAAAGAAAGGTTCACCTCAAAATGAGATTAGGTTACACTGCAGAGTTTTGCCCCTTATGTTCAACTGGAATTTCTGTTCCTACAGCATGCATTTCTGGCCTCCCATCCTGTGGCTGTGTGCCTGACAAAAGCCTGGCTCTGCCCCACCTACAATCCCCTTACCCTACTTGAAGACCAGATGGGATTTCATTTGCCATCCCTTCTCCATACCAAAGTCAAGCTCAAACTCAGCTCTCTGGGCCATTCCTCACATTTGGTGCATCATCCCCTTTGCCAATAGTACTCTTTATGTCTTACTACCTGAGAGCATAACACTGCTGTAAAGTGGTGAAGATTCTTACTAAGCATCCATTGCTGGATTATCTTTTTATTACAGACATCACAAAAAGGCATGTAACCGCAAGCTCTGCAGAGGAGGTTAGGAAAAAAATAACTCTGAATCTGATCTGAAATTACAGCTCAACTTCAACAGAATCGTCAGGTTTCCCTTGTTTTGTTTTATGGCACAGACTTGCTTTGAAGTCAGACTTTTCATAAGTTGGGCAGAAGCATGTTTTCAGGACATGGATTTTAAGTACTAAATAAGGTTTCAAATTCTCTGTCTCGATAAGCTCTTAGAAATATTTAAAAAAACATGCAGGTACTTATTCTAACACCACCACTAGAAATTAAAATGCTGGAAATGACCACAGAAATACCATTAGTTGCACAGTGATCTTACTAGGCAGAATTAATTTCAAGGTCAATAGTCAGTAAGGAAAAATACCTTACAGATTAATAGATTTTGAAGATGAACAAAATTCAGTATTTCATTCAATTTTATCACACTTCGCCACAAGGAAGACTAACCTGTACGACTATATGAAGAGTTCATTTTGTTGTTAGGCTGATAACCCAGTATTTGAATGCAGACACAGTAAAGGCAGTTCTCATCCGTGTGCTCCTGTAACCCCGTATCCTCTGTATTTTCTAAAAACTGAGAGGCATCTGAACGGCTGGTATTCATTATTTCTGTGAGACTGATCTGCTGTCGGAGCATCTGAAAAGGGCTTTTGACAACATCACTTGTACCTGATGGAAGACCTGTACATAAGCAATTAGACATCAGAAAAAACAAAACCCAAGCAACCAACACTATTTCGATTAAATTTCCCCTTTTAAGCCTTTTAAGGATGGGGAGGCTGTGTATGTGAAGATCCAGAAACTTTTTTTTGAGCTGTTAAGCTCCCAAGATTGTTAACATTCAGGAGACAGACATCACATTTTAGTCCTGGCTTATGACATTTAACAAAACATTGCAAAGGACAGAATTCAACCTCTAAACGCACATACGGTACACACATACTGTAAGAAGGTATGTGTTAAAACCTGACATTATATCAACATTAGTAACAGTAATACCCATGTAACACTAATACATTACCAATTTTCATAGTGTCAAACAAGATTAATACAATAATATACCAGATGTTTAAATGACACATATGCCTATGAACACATAAACACAAATTAAAAAACTGTAACAGTGCCTGTAATAGTAAGAAACTAGACTCAACAACGCAGAAACAAGCCAAACACACTTTAGTGACGTGCTCTTCCGTGGGTGGAAGATACCAACAAATACAATTTTGAAAAAGAGTTACTTTACACTGAAACTTAGCTAACTACAGAAACACACTTTCTGGAAAAATCAGCTTTATGTATCACATTAACACCACAAAAGAAAAAAAAACCCAAACCACTAAGGTGTATGTATTTGGATGTTCAAAGTGCTTGTAAAAGTTCCAGTTAACTAGGAGGCAAGACCACAGCTAGAACGGCTATCCTATACTACTTTAGGACCAGTTGCAATGCTTCTTTTTTAGTTGTCCTACTGAAAAAGACACATACTGACACCCTACAGATTTCTGACTGCTCTGGAGTAAAAAGGAAGTACATTCCAGAACAAGCCAGGCACTACAGAACACTTGCCCTTCTCTTGTACCGTGTCCCATCACCTCTGCTGATCAACTGTCATGGAAACATGACAGAAAGACAAAATTTACTTTCTGAACTACACACCTAGCACCTTTACTGGTTCCTATAAATTCATGTATAATCAAAGGGAAGTCAAAATGTAACAGCTCAATATGTGACATACATATTTATGCAAGCTTAAATTTTGTCACTTTCTTTAACGCAATATCACTACCAGTCTTCAGTTAGCATTAGCTCATATTCTAATCAGATATGTAAACTTTCCTCCTTTATTAGAGCAGGACTGAGCTCATGTTGCTTTGAAGCAACACTGCATTATCTCAAACTATATAAAAAAGGGAATTGGTGGCCTGCTATTCTGAATCCAGAACACAGCTCTAACAGCTAAAAAATAAAATCTTTCTGTAAAGAAAAATCAACAAATACACCCACACCTCACCCCACCCAATGTACAAATAAACAACAGAAAGGTACTGGAGAAGAAGAAAAACAGTACCTCCAGCATCAGGTGCAAAGACCCTAGCTCCACGGTCATCAAACGGAGGGGTGGTTTTCTTCTGGAAATATGGAGTTTCCTTTACCTGGAATATTCAAGTGAAAATTAAAATTAGCACAGGTGATAATCATGTAAAAAGGAAAAATAGATTTTGAGGAAATAAAATGTCCATTTTTTTACTTCAGGAAAAAGATCTTATTAGAAGAGTAAATTAAGAATGGGCTCCTGAGCACTAAAGAAAAGCCAATGAGAAAAACATAAATTTCTGAATGAATTTTTATTAAGCAAGGCTATAAACAGTCAGTAAATGTTAAAACAGTGGTCACAGGCTGTAAGGAAACCAGTGACCCAGAAGTGACTGTTAATGATCTGTCCATGATCACTCTACATCACTGAAGATCTTGGGAGAGCAGTGCAAAAACACCCAGGACATCTAAAATGTTGCCTTTAAGACGTTGTAGAGTCAAGATGTTGTAGAGTCAACTGTACAAAAAGAGTTGAGAGAGAAGAAATGAAGCAACATAAATACACCACAAAGACTGTGAAGGAGAAGGAAAAGGTAGTAATTTCACAAAGGAGAATAGAAGCAGCTATGATGGAAAATCTTGCTTTTGCTCTAGCTTTAGTAGTTTTTTGAGATTAGTAAGGAATTAGTTTAGGTTTGAAAGGCAAAGACTAAGTAAACTAAAGATGAGGAAGCTCACTGATTTACCTTTGACATAGACCACATTTTTGACAATTAAGTAACAGAGTATTAAACCCTGTGATGCATCAGTTTGTTAGATGGGAATGTGTTTTAACCAAGTAGAAAGAGGAAGGCAATTGATAAAGACACTTAAAATAATCTGGTTTAACTTAAATATATGTATCTGTGAGGTTAAGTAAAGACTATATAATTTAACACTCTGACAATATATATACAACTACACTAATACTTAAACAAGATCATGGCAGCAAGCAGTTAACTGTGCGACTATGCACATCATTTATGGTTGACCAATGAACATATCAATTAGTTGGCTAAAGAGGCATTAACAAATGTCCACAGCCTATGTCTGTTTTAGTATAAAAGCTAGCTGTCAACTAAAAATCTTAGGACAGCATATTTATGCTACCATTGTGTGACACTCTTCTAACCTAGTCTGCATCATTACTTGTCTAAGAACACAAAACAGACTAGCGATTTTCTGTAAATGAGGTTAGAAAAGAAACCCTTGTTCTCCAAAATGCATTCCTTGAAAATACCACATCCGTTTTAACTCATTTCTCTAGATCTAATCTATTCTGATGAAAACGCAACAGTTGACTACCTTTCAGTATGCAAATGCAAATGAACCCAGGAAGTTATCACATACATACCTGAAATATTTCATTGATATCCACTGGGAGAGCAAGGCCAATGTAATCATCGGAGCTACCATACGTAGCATTAGAAACCATGGAGCGAACAGAAGAGGAACGCTGAAGTGTGTTTTGGTTAATAGGACTTAATAAATCTTCTTTATCTAATGAAGCATAACTTAAAGCTTTCATGAACCTGTAACATTGAAATAATAAATCACAATCTTGGTAAATCTCTCATTCTGGCACACTAAAAGTAAGAAGGACTGCTGACACAAAGACTACCCTCATCTTCCCATTGTAGAACCCAGAGCTTGTTCCTCTGTCAAATTACTAATGAGCTAAGGGGTCACTGCTTTTTTCTGTCTCATATTGTGTTGCATGGTTTGGCAGTTCCTCAGGTAAAAATTTTTTCTTTGAAAGTCCTGTGACAGGGACTTGAAAGCTAGCAGGATGGAACTTCTGCTTGAGGAGCTGCCACCCTGCAAAACCACAAACTGTCTCCAACTTACCAGGCTATGAAGACTTGCAGCCCAGACATGGTCAGTAAAGATTTAGGCTTTCAAACTGCTAATTGCCTCATTTTGAAATGCACCTATACACTGAATATACCTTCCCTGGACAGTCACAAACTCCGAGCTGAGCAAGCACATCCATGCCAATACAGAGCTCGAGCCTAAGGTACCAGCAATGCAAGCAAGGAACATTTTTTTCCTTACTCTAAAGAAGCCACCATTAGGTTACCCAAGCATGGAGGAAGAATTTGCTTAACATGAATGCACAAACTTGAATCTGTGCAGTGAGCAGAGCTGACTGTGACAAGCAGTCTGAGGAACAAAGAAGTAAATAGCTTGAGAAAATGAGGCAGGAGAGAAGAGGCTGGAGAACAGGAGAACAAGTCCTCAGTTTGGCCATCCATCATTTTATTTCTCATTGAAGATAAAAACCTAAAAATGTTTTCTGCTAATCAACCTTTGTAGATGGTCTATATGCAGTGGATTAAAGCTTCCTAGTAAACGGGAGACACATCTCAGGAACAGTAAATTATTATATTGAAGTACAGTAAACATTTGATTTCTTGACTTTCTGCCTTAGAAATATTTTTCTATCATTTTTTGTTTTAGATGGCAATAGTATTCTTGCCCCTAACAGATTAACAGATTTACACCAAGATAAAATTAAATTACCAAGTTTTGACCATGTAAGATTCAAAACATTATTATGTGATGGGAATGCGGAGAAGGATATCTATAGTTTTCTTGCTACTAACTAATTCTGACCATGGCTAATGACAGTAGCAGTGGGCTTCCAATAAAAGCCAAGACATACTTCAAAGGATGAGAGGAAATGGGCTCAAGTTGTGGCAGGGGAGGTTTAGATGGGATATTAGGAAGAATTTCCTCATGTAAAGGGTTGTCAAGCATTGGACCAGGCTGCCCAGGGAAGTGGTTGAGTCCCCATCTCTGGAGATGTTTAAAAGATGCGTCGACATGGTGCTTAGGGATATGGTTTAGTGGCAGACTTGGCAGTGTTAAGTTAATGGCTGGATTTGATGATCATTAATGTCTTTTCCAACCTAAATGATTCTACGATTCTAAAACCCCCGAAGTTACAAACTGCATTGGTCATTTCATAATAAAGCATTCTACAATTACTCTCAACATAAAATTAAAGATAGAAGTATTAATCTTAAACCTTGTCCCTGCTTCTCCTAGAAAAGCAAACAGTTATCTAACGAGTAGTGGCAAATACCACTAAGTTTTCATGAACGTGTGTTTGCAGGTGATAGGGTGAAAGCCATGATCAGGATTTGAGACATGCGTATTAACATTTTTGGTTGGTCTTTATAGAGGTGGATAATTAAGCCTTACAAAATAATTTATGCAAAGAAACAAGCTTTTCAACCAATTTACAGGTGCTAGTTGCTATGTACACATGAATTTGTCAATGAAGCATGAATCAAATTTTTCTTAAGACTAACAGAAAAATAGCCTTAGCAAACAAAAAGGACAGGCTATTTCTTTCCAGTTTATTACTTAACCAGTGGTTAAGGGTGTTGTTCAGCTGGAAGTAGTAACATACCCTGAAATTAAAAGAACCAGAACTATTCAGTGCAGACACTCAGCTGTAACCAGTAAAAAAACCATGCATACTAGTTACATCTTAGTCTTTCTAATCAACTATACTAGTGACGAACACAATCTGACAATCTCTTGTAGTATGTACCCCTGCAACTTTTTAACCTTCTGAAAGATACAAGTAACAAGTACTCCAGCCACTTCAGTTCAATGTTGAAGAGGTCAGCTCAAATCCTCGAGCCTAACCACTGATACAAGAGATGATGAACAGCTAAGCACCAGGAATACTGTTAATATTATATTATATGCAGAGTCTCGGGATACAAATCCACTGCAGCAAGGCTGCTTTGCATATCGAGGGCATGACTGCAAGGAATGGTGAAACTTTACCACAGCCACAACAGAACCTGTGCTGCCACTGAAATGACACTGATTTGTCCCTGCATTAGCACAGAAAGGCAGCAACAAAGCAAAGCACAGCACAGCACTTCTGATTTCCAGGATAATGCAGCTTAACTACTGAATCATCCTTAATTTAATCAGCCACTCAGTCTAGTTCTAACTTAATTAAACAAAGGGAACAAAACTTATCTTTTATGGCATCTTTGCAGAATCACATGAAAATATCAACAAATCAATGTTGCTCTTAATCAGGACAAAAATGCACAGTAACAAACAGGCACTGTATACACTCAGATGGGTATGTGGAGTGCAGTTCAGCACCTGGGCATTTGCTGTTCTGTGCAGTAAGCAGATGACCAATGTACTGGTAGCTTCTCCCCTTTCTGTCATCTGGGAGAGGATATTTAAGTAAGAACAGAGATAGAAAACGTCTTTTCTCTCTCAAAAGTAATGTGAAAATCCAATGCACTAGCTAAAAGATGATTTGAAAGGAAAAATTTGGTAGAAGGCTTTTAAGAGAAAGTTGTTAAGCACGAACTTGCTGCTGGGAACAGTGTCAATGTCATGAGCTGGGTATCTTATGTAACTATCCAATTAGTCTTCAGAACATCTAATATTACTCAAAAATAAAGAGGTGACACTCCCATCTAAAAATAAATGCCGTGAGTAAAATCTTTGCTCTGTTGTAGCTAAGAAGCTAAACTCACATTCACAACAGTGGTACCAGTTTCTCACCACTGGCCTCAATGCCACAGTGAACATGAATATAGCATACTGGCAGGAGTCCCCGAACCTCATGAACTGACATTGAAAAAATAATCTTCTGAAACATACCTCTAATTTCGTGTGATTGCAACCTCAGTAATGCTAGCAGTGTCACTGCATTTAAATATTTAAAAAGTTAAACAGGAAGCAAATGTGACAATGGGAACATTTTCCTTTGTCACCAACAGCTAAGCACAGCTAGGAAAGCCAAGCTTCTCTGACAGCACTTATGAAGTTGAGAATTCTCAGTCTATTTTATTATTCTCCTAATAGCAATATGGCTTTCAGTGAAGTTATGAATCATCCCGCAACAACTGTCACTTTTAGGTGAAGTTGGAAAAATATTAGAAAGATACTTTTCTTATTTAATGTCTCTGAAGTAAGAAACGAGCACATAATAATCTCTTACCGGCTTGGGGTTAGTCGAGAATCCAGGCTGCCAGACTTCATGGTAATAGTGTCAGTAAACAGCACGTCCTTTGCTGGAGATGCCAGGGCTTCTGAGTGAGACAGTGAAGGATGCATCCTCTGCTGTTGTAAGCGTTTTAGTGTAGCATAGCCAAAGGCATCACGAGAACTTGTGTAGCTAAAGTTATAGTCAGCAAGACTTTTTATTGTAGCAAGAGAAGGAGCTTTAAGAGACTGGGCTCTTCGGGGAAGTGTATGAGACGACCCTGGCAGTACCAGGGATACAGAGTTGGATTTTGAGAGAGGCAAGTGGTTAGACTGTGGTGTTGAACAGTGACTTGGTTTAACTGTTTTTGTGCTTACCACAGTACTCAGACTTCCGCAGTCAGTATCTACATTTGTAGTGTCCACACCTACAGTCTCCCTTGAAGGGCTAGAGCTCATTGAGCTTATGCCACTTGTTGTGGTATCTGTATTAAAACTTAAGCTACGACTCTTGAAATGTGTTTGTGTAGTACCATCTCCTATTAGCCTTTCTCTGCTTGTGTTTTCCCGGTGAATTTCATTTCCCAGACCTTTTGGCAGCTTCAGATCATTTTCTCCAATACTTGGGGTACTATCAGTATCTTCCATGTGCTTACTTCCAACAAAAGAAGTTTCTAATCGTAAAGTCTGGATTTTTGGAACTTTGAAAACAGGGTTGAATTCTTCCCCAGCAGGAAAGTCTATGCTACCGGAAGGTTCTGTTACTGTACGATTTCGCCTCAGGCCTGATTTACTGTCAGATGATGTCAGCTTTCCGCCTTTTGGATCACTGCTACTTCTGTGTTTTTTATTAGGTAGAGTAAGAGAGCTTAGAATGCGATTTTTGACAAGTCTACTAGAAGAAAAAAAAGGAAAGGGACTACGGTCTTTGTCCTTCGAAGGTCCAGGTCTGTCATAAAATATTTGTTCTGCATCTTCAGTAATATCTAGGAAGAATGTACTAGTGGAAGTACTACCAAAACGGTCATCCTCCATGATGAACATACCTGAAATTACATGAGACTTCGTCACTGAAAATGGACGTTTCTTCAAACTGTATAAACTGTGTTGCGAAAAGGTAAGCAATTCTATAGACGCCGAAGTGGGATACTATGTGATTTACTTCAATTTTAATTCAACACTTTTTCTGCAGAACTTAGTAGTGTAAACTAAGTATCTTGAGGAGTACCTTAGCCAAAGGTCTCATTGCTTCAGCAGAAAAGCCACACTATCTTATTTCAGGGCAAATATCCAGCCACTAAAAGTATAACCGATGCTTTCCTCTAACGGTATATAAATATGGTATAGTTCTGGATTTAAATTCCAACTATCCATAGCAGAATTAAAACATTATTAGATGCTCGAAATATACAAGAATTTGAATACAGCAATACTCTGTGTGTGTGAATATAAACACAGAATATATGTATTTATATTCTAGAATATAAATAGGTACCTTTATAACTAAGCATGGAGATTTTTGCAGGGTATTATAGCAAGCTGCCATGACTTGACATAGAAACTAGTAACTTCCCCTGATGTTAAAATTTCTTACTTCCACAACAAATGTAAACCCAAGACACTGTTCTCTTCCCTTTCACTTGTCTACATCTCTCTGAATGTATATAACTCTGTCCCCTTGCTTGCACTCTTCTTTCTTGCAATAGCGCCTCTACACCATTTGCCTGAACCTCATCCTGCCAAAAGGTTGGTAAGAACACCAAAATGCTGTTTTGTGGTGGGTTTTTTCTGTTTGTTTGCTTTGTTGTTGTTGTTACTTACTCGAAGGAGCAGATTCGCTTTCACTATTATGCCTAGAACTGGTGGACTCAGAGTTCAAGCTAAGAGTGCTGGGTATAGAAGAAAGTTCATTGCAGAGCTGCTCCATGTCATCAGGGACCACTGGCCAAGGCTGTCTACGACTGTGTCTCACTGCATCCCAGTTGTGATGCTTCAAAATGTCACATCCTTGTTTAGTTTTGGCTATTAGACCAAGCACGTAGACACAGGTTCTGTATTTAATGTATATATAGAAAAAAGAGCAACAATAATAGCATCTAATTTAACTAAACTTATTTCTTTTTGAAAGGAAACAGTTTCAAAACAATTCAGTAGAAACTTCACAAAAGTGCCAAGTAGCTTTTTGTTCATTTGTATTTGTAAATCAATGGAAGCTTAAAATGCACTAAAGTATCTGAGAACAATACACTATTCAAAAATGAAAACTTATTATTACAAGAGCATATTACAAAAGCTGGTTACATAAAGTAGAAAAGTACCTTTTTTTTAAAAAAAAAAAAAAAAAAGACAAACATTAATGCAGTAGCAATATTAGGCAAAAGACCATCTATTTATACTTTTAGAGATTCAAAAAGACACTGAATAAAAATGATGAAATAATAAACTGATTCCAACAGAGACAGAAATAGCAAATATTTTAACTGTTTTTTTTTTAAAAAAGGGGAGAAGTAGTATGTATCTTTTTTCATAGGTTTGCTTTGCTTACTGCACGTTCTTTCAGACTTCCTATGCAATTCTGAGATTGGCTAGGACTAAGATTGATACTCATCAATGATCTTTAATAAATGATTTCCAAGTGAGTGTGAAACTATGTTCATGTAAATTCGGTAAGGCTATTTGAAAACTATTACTATTATGGCAACTACCATCTGTAAATTTTATGTATAAATCAGATACACATACCCTCTAACAGAGAGAACCTCGCAATGTTGGGCAAGTGCCATGATATCAGGAATTACATTCTCCTCTTGAAGCAAGTTAAGACCCCAGTTCGACGATCCAATATTGCCCTGGAATAAAAGTTTTCCAAGTAAGTTTTAATTTTTATGTGATCTGCAGCACCATCAGTGTAAAGCTTTCCATGTTTTTGTTTATTGGTATTGTAGTTTCAAGCCACATCCTCTCAAAGCAATTAGAGATTTGAGCACCCTTTTTGGCATTTCCTAGTCATGCCAATCCAAAGAAGAACTCAGCACACTATGTGTAATACCTAAAACTACTCACAGTTAACTACTGTGTATTCCTCATTTTACCAATTTTACTACAGCCAGCAGTATGAACTTGGTTTACTCATTTTACATTTGTCTTACACAGGCGTTCTATTACATACCTATGATATCTTCCAGTAATAGTCACCCTGGACAAATGTTCCAAAATAAACTTTGGGGAAGACAAGAAAGAAGCAGACGAACAGTTGAGGTGTCAAAGCAACTTTAGATGTGTAGCTTTGACAGGCACAGACACTAGGTCTTCGCCTATCCCCAGTACCAGGGTTGTTATGACCACATGTATTCACACACATCTACAGCGGCAGCTGACTTTCTTCCAGAAACACCGAATTTTGAACCACCACAGTAAATACATTAAAGTCAGACCACAGCAACTAGGAACTACTGGTTCCATACTAACATTGTTGCTACATGTGGCAATCTGTTCTTTTTATTTGTCCACAAAGAAAAAAAAAAAAGAAAAAAAGACAGAGTGACTTAAAATACTCAGAACAAAAAAGGTGCAGTGAATCGTTTTCAACTGAAAGACCAGCTAGGGTACAGAATGCCCACTTGGGAAAATCACACACATTTTATGACAAAAACCCTAATTAATGATTTTATAGGATTTTGTTTAGTTATTTCAGATTCCAGTCATAACAGAACTCAAACAACTGCAAAAAGCTTGTAAATCTATTACTAACCAAGGCCCAAAGGGCTGCTTTGAGCTGCTTAATTCCTTCCCACTTATCCAGCATTGGGGAACGAACAGTGTAACTTAGATCTGTAACAATACTCTGAAGGAGAAAAACAGAAGAAAAAAAAAAACAACACTCAGTTGAAAATGAAAAGGAGACTTCAGTCAAATAGGTTCTCTTGCATTTTTAAATGAAAGGTAAAGCACTAATTTAAAGTATGCACGGTAAAACAAACAGTGGTAGTTTTGGAATAATAAGCACAAATGTAACAGCAACAGTAACACTAAGTAGAAAACTTTAATGTAACTACTGATTGTATCAAATTAATTCCTTTTATAAGGATAGCAGATTCATCAGGCTAACACAATGCAATATATAATAAGCTTTCTCTTGAACTTTTCAACTATCATATTCAATTCATTATATCATCTTGCAAAGCCACATTAAAGGTGAATTAATTTAAGCAACTGTGAACTGGCTTATGGTTTGTTTTCATAGCTTTTCAGGGTGTTAGAAAGATTTTATTCCCTCATTTCCACATTTCCGTATGCATAAAAGGATGGGCAGAGTTTTACTTGTCAATATACAATTCACTCACAGTCTAAAAATCATTTCTTTTGGTGAGTTGCTTTCCATTGTAAGATTTTGCTAGCCATTTTAAGAAAAATGTTGCAAGGTATTCCTCTCCTATTTCAGCGCCAGGAAAGAATTTTACACGAGATTAGATGGCAAAGACTGTCTCCACAACTTTTTGGCCCCATATAACTTACGATTTTCATAATCAACTTATTTTGCTATGACTGTTTAAATGCCATCTCTTAAAACTTATTTTAAAAGGTTTACAGTACTCTTCAAAATCTTTCAAGTTATAAACAGTAATTATCCTCACCTGAGACTCCAGTAAGTGGCAGCCCGTTTTATGGTGCACCAGTTGGCCGTAAAGGTGAACTGGCAGGTAGACGTGTGGTCGCTGTAATCTGGCAGAAAAAGAAACAATATACTTTCCCAGCCATTCTGACATTTCTTTTAAAATAAATTACACTGCAGTGTAACGAGTAACTTGAAGTTTTTCAGATGAAGGAGATTCTTTTGGAGAACTCAGAATAGAATAGTCTATTTCAGTTGGAAGGGACTACAGTGATCATCTAGTCCAACTGCCTGACCAATGCAAGGCTGACCAAAAGTTAAAGCATGCTATTAATGTACTTTAAAAAGCCCTTCTTGTTACCCAACACTGACCAGTTTCAATTCTAATTCTTTCGTGTCTTCTCCCTGCATATACGAACCACAGCTCTGTAATCTTCCTGTGAAGCCTGACCCTGCCTCCAGAGAACATACAATTTCTTTTTTCTTCTTGAGCTCCATGACAAGTTCCCTGTTCAGCCAGGCTGGTCTTCTGCCCTGCTTGCTTGACTTATGACACAATTGTATTGCCTGCTCCTGTGCTTCTAAAAGGTGGTTCTTATGAAACTGACCACCACTCATGGACTCCTAAGCCCACACAAGCAGATTCCCAGGGTACTTTGCTAAACAGTTCCCTGAGTTTGCTCTCCTGAAGTCCAGGGTAGCAACTCTGCTGTTCTTTTTTTCTCACTACACTGAAAATTTTAAACTCAACCATTTCATGATCACTGTGACCAAGACAACCACCTACGACCACACAAACTTCAAAAATTTCCAAGACCTGCTTGTCACAGCAGTATGGTATTCCCAGTTGATGTCTAGGAAGTTAAAATAATCCATAAGGACAAGGGCTTACTGATCCAGAAATTCCTCCTGATTGAGAATGACTCATCAGTGCTAACATCCTGGCTGGGCGATCAGTAGTAAACACCCACTACATCATCTCCTTTGTTTCTCATCCCCTTAATCCTCACCCAGAGACTCTCAACCACATCATTACTGTGAGGGCTGTACCATCAAAACTCTCCCTTACACACAGAGGCAACACCTCCACCTTGCCTGCCCTGCCTATCCCTCCTGAACAGCCTGTAGTCCTCCACCCCACCACTCCAATCATGGGACTCATTCCACCAAGTCTTGTTAATACCAATACTGGAGCAATGCTTCCAGTTCGTCCTGTTTGTTTCTCATACTGCAGTGTTGGTGTACAAGCATTTCAGATATGCTCCTGAGCCCTCTGTGTGCCCAGGAGCAATGTAAAAGTTGCCACTAGCATTGCCACCCTCAGCCATGCTAACCCTTGGCTTACCTACTGCAATCCTGTTGGTATCCTCCTCCCCAGTGATTTTAGTTTAAAGTTCCCTTGATCAGTCCTACCAGCTTACGTCCAAAGATGCATTTTCTCAATTTTACCTTTGGTTGCTCCGACGAACATAGTTATCACCATCAACAGGTTTGCGGTATGTTGTAAGTGCTTCATTAAGCTGTTCTTCAATCAATTCAACATACTTTAAGTTGTATTCCTAAAGGAAGACAGACAAAGGTTGACTCAATACGTTTAGTGGTTTATGTTTTTATAGCATGGTACTTTATAAGGAAGGATAATTGAGGTGCTCCTTACAGAAGGCTGAATTTCTTTATGAGCCTCACCTTCAGATCACCAAAATTACTGCACTTCATACATACAATGAGTTTGCAGCGTCAACAGGGGACTCCATAATTATTTCAATGAATTTGTTAAAAAAGGAAGGACAGAAGGGAATACTTCACATCTGACTTTAACCCGAATAATCTCAAGACACCACCATGCATTTCAGTATTCCTAGAGAAGTAACAGCTTATAAATCAGTCAAAAAATTGCCAACAGGAATAAGACCAAGCATTTATAATCAGTTATGGAAACAAAATAATGTATGAAGAGTTTTATCATAGTCATGACAATGATGCTTTTTTTCTACTGGTCTTGTATTTACTTCCTAACAGCATAAGCGAATTCTATCTTCATGACCTCTAGATTTAACTTCAGTTAGCAACAACCAGAGGTAACAGGTATCTTGAAAAGCAGCATTCCTTTACACACTTCTCTAGGTAAGACCTTACATAAAAACCTATTGAGAAAGTCACTATGCTACTGAAATATTTGCTGAAATATCAAAACTTATGAAAGGCCTGGGTAAATCAAAAGCACACATGTACAAAGGATCTATGAAACTGTAAGTCCCTGTCACCTTTTTTCAGCAAAATCTTAAGTCACTGAGGCAATAAATGTATTGGCATTAGCAACAAACACATATGAATATGCAATATTTTTAAGAATCTTTGACCTTCTAAACCTGCACATTCACACGCTTCCTCCACTTAGTATCAAGCACACTTTTTATTCTTAGCATTACCTTTTGCCACTTTTCCATTTGTTTTGTTACATAACCTCTTTCATTTAGATATGAAAATCCCTTTGGGATGGACAGAAATCTGTAAAGTAACATTAGGCAGTTAGCACTCCACTTAAAACAAATCACATAATTTGAATAGAAACAAACACACATTTGTTTCCACAGCATAAAGTCAAACAGCATATGCAACATTTACCTTAGGAGTAGAAGCAAACCCTTGTCTCCAAGATGAGAAAGAGCTGGTTTCATTTGGATAAGGGCATGAAGATTGGCCTAAGATAATTAAAAATGCATAAGGAGTATCTGAGCACTCTATAATTCTGAAAACTACAACAATTACAACAATCTGCCAGCAATGAAGCACCAAGTTTTTCACAAAAAGAAGTATCAAACAGCGCTAACCTCATCCTGATAGTATCCACTTTAGGTAACTTCTGTCATTAAATATGTATTATGTCACAAAAAGTATAACGATCAAATAACTGAATTAGTCTGAATTCGTATTTAAAAGCAGGCATAATCCAGAAGTCTACATTTTCTTGTCATTAATACTGCAGTATTTTCAGCAAGGGGATTATAAACTATTATGAAGTCCATCAATGACAATCAAGAGAAGAAACCATCAGTAGTTTCTTGCATACTTTTACTTTGCGACCGGGGGACGAGGTGGGTAACAGCTAACAGTAGCATACCAGAAAGAGGTCGAAAAGGGAAAGGATGCTCACCTTGTCTTCACATGCCTCATCCAGAATATCAAGTGCCTCGGAAGAAATAGTTTTATTTTTATCATGTAACTGGGTCACCAGTAACTCAATCCCCCAGTTGCTGAAGAATTCCACATTTGCTCTCAGTAATACTCGCAAGTGTTTTGTGGCATACAACCTGCAGCTCTGTAAAAGTAAGGAAAATGTTTTTTTTGAACGCAAGAAAAATAGCTAATGTATTTAATGATTTATCACTTAAAAAAACATTTAAATTGTCATATTTTACAGCAAGTAGCTGTGATGCACACCTCTTGTATTAAAACTACAGTCTGTTAGAGAGCTATTCCTACCTTATGGGAAATCTGAGTTGGAGATCACAAGAATCTGGTCACTGAAAGTCCCCTTGGAAAGCACTTATCAATTAGGCATTCACTGTGATAGCACCACACAAAGTCATCAGGTGTAGCAGGAAAAATACCTTGTATATGCAATTGCATTGGCCATTTACCTTCATGTATGCACAGTTTTGCAAAAAAACTTGAACAAGCAAGTATTAGAACCTCTGGGGAATTTATTTTAATAATTTTAAATTGTTTCCCAGAAGTGGGTCATCTTCAAAAGTTCTCAGAAAACCTTCTAAGTAGAAAAATGTCATTTTCTGTATTAAGACAATTTCTCAACACTTAGTTTACTACTATGAATGTCTCCAAGTGACAGCACAATGAAGGAAGTACCTTGTCAGTTCCTGTGCTGCAGTTCAAATCTTGCTGAATAAACAGCATAAACTGATTCTGTGTGTGTGATTAATGTCACTGTATATTAGAAAAAATACACACAAAATAGAGGCAAACAGGCTTAATCTGCAAGAATTTGCAGTGTTCTGGAGTAAGCACAGAATAAGCTTGACAATGTATGCTTACTAGGAAAGGTGTTATCTGTACTTAGACGTGTACAGCTGGAAAAGACAAAATCAGGTGACCAAATCTTTCTTCAGGTCCTCAGTCTCTACGTGTAAAAAGGCTGCGATAGCTACAACCAAGTAAATTTTCTATACATTAAAACATAAACGATCCATGTTGGGATGCATGTGAGTATCTGTACTCCAAGAGATAGGTGTATTGGTCCAGGTTGGACAGAACTACCTAGATTAACAACATCCTCTGGATTGCTTTTTTTTCCCCCCCCCTCCAGAAATACTTGTCAAGCAGGACTTGAAAGAAAACGAGAGTAGGAAATGTGAACATGCACAGTTCATGTCAAAAACCTTGCCCCATTATTTCAACTTCAAGTATCATGTCCACATTTCTACTTATTGAATATCCAGAAGCTTATTTTTTGGAGGGGAGGCAGGAATGACTTAACACACGCAGCAAGACAGACTGTGGAACAGTGATTCGCATCTCTGACCTAAGCTGCAGAACCATTTTGAAATGGCTTGCATCCCAATAGTGGTATGCCTTCTATAAGGAATAGGTGACTAGCAACATATTTATTAAAGGTAAGAACAAGAGCTATTATGCCAAAAGATCACTTGATCTAGATGTTAACCCTAAAGAATAACCCAATAAAATGAAACCAGAACTCAGTGTCATGTAGTTCAAGTGTTAAAATCTGTCTATAAAGAATGGTTCTTACTGCTATAAACTACACTGAGTGTGACACAGAGAACAAAAGATAATGTTGTTCACTTCCTGAAATACTTCCTGAACATGAATCAATCTATCCAGATAGCTAGTACAGAATTTGAACAATTTTTATTTTCTGTTTGGAGAAGGAAAAGCTACAAAGGAACTCATGATTCTGATGGGACAATAAAATAGCAATTAAAATCAACTGCAGATAAATTTGAAACTGTGAGCTAAAGTGAAAAAACAATCCCAGCTTTACACACATAACAGGCTCTGAGCCAGCTCTTTCCACCCAGGGAAAAGACTTTGGGGCTAGTACTAGTTAATTCTGTGGAAGCGTTAGATAGAAGTTCAATGGCAACCAAACTGCTGAAAGTAAACAACAAAACGCATCAGCATTGTCACTATGTAAATCCACTGGGTGTTGACATCTTGGACACTGTGTACAGTTCTGGTTTTCCTACCATCATCAGAAAGAAAAAGAAGAACAATTAAAAAGGTGTAAAGGACAACAGAACAGGGTTTTAAGGAAATGAAGGTATGGAATAAGCTCTTTACAACAGGGAATGACGCAACAGACTAAGACATTCAAACCTCAGACCCAGGGCTGCAAAACCACTGCATGCATTTCCAAACAGATCTCAAGTTTTCAAGCAGGGCCACAACCTCTGTACAGCAAGATCATCTGTATGCATGTCCCAGATCAGAGGGGCAAAGCCCAGCATTGCTTTTCCAGATGAAATAAAGTCCTGGAATGTTTTTACTTTTGACGAGAACTGACAGGAAAACCAGTTTAGAGAGTATCTGAGGAAACAAACATTTCCTTCTTTCACTCACGCATTAACTACAAGAAAAACATAGATAAACCCTGTACTAAGTATGTCAGAAGATTCTTACTATTACTACTAAAGGGCTTTGAGACCCTTATAAGTGAAGAAGAAAGTCAGAGGTCACTATGCCCACTATGCCACTATGCTATGATTATAACTCAGCACAGATGCCAGTAGATGTAGGATAAATCCAACCCTTAGCCACCTATAAAGACAAAATTTTAGGTCATAAACTGCAGCACTTGAAGTCACACTGGCTACTCTGCTGTTTCTACCACGAACTGGCAGAAAGACAGCTGAAGCAGTATTAATTTGCATTAGCATGAATGACCAAAGAACATCTGGAAGTAGGTTAAGATGTGCTTCTGCTTCACTGATCTGTAAGGATATTGCTCTGTAAATGTTTTCATTGTATATATTCACTCCAAATGCTACTCTCCCCTTCTAACACTAAGCTGGCTACAGAAATTTCTCTTCTTTGTTCAGAGACACTCATTAGCAAATGTCTAACAAACCTGCTTTGCACCTCTGGGTGGGTGAAAAGGTGTATGAGGCTATAACCTCGTAAGAAGAAAAAGAACACCTTTAGCTTTTGAAATAAAAATAAACAGATATGGTATTTCATTAATAAACATCTTGGGGAAATTAAAATTTCTGAGGGGAAGAAGCCTTACTGCAAACGGTCTTTCTCTCTTACAATACACAGCTTTTCAGGAATTATGTCCTGTTCCATACATTTTTATTGCTTTTAAACAGACTTTAGAAGCCAGAGGCAGCATACAAAATCAAAATCACAATTTGTCTTCTGGACTATGAATTAGTACAAACCCTTCCAGAGGCTTATTACAGACACTCCACTCAACCTACAAGGTCCTTGAAAAGGGAAGATGGAAGGGCTTCTAAGTGCCTTATCTGACCTGAACTGCATATTCATTTTTCATCTTAGGATTCACTTGTCCAAGGTGACAGAATGTCAGTTCTAGTAATATTTAAAAAGATATTCTCCTTATGGGACAGAGCAGCAAGTGGTATAAACTGTGTCAAGTTTCAATTTTTTCCTATCATGCTTGCTAAATACGAAGTAGTAATTCTTCTTTTGCTGTTGACAATGCTGATGTTTCAGAATTCTAGACCATAAAACCCAGAAAATGACAGATACCTTACCCTAACATCTAAACAGAGGTACCTCCAAATTACTACTCAGTCAGTGGAACTACCAATGCAAATAGCTGTTAGTTCAGTATCTCCATATTCTTTAGATACCTTGTTCTCTCAGAGCTGACAACTATTTCCACCTCACATGAATATTTTAATTTCTGGAAGAGACTTGTAGCTTTGCCTACTGCAGTTGTTCAAAAATACCAGTTAGTACACAGCTGATACCAGAATAATCAAAAGGCTTTATCCTTTGGATTAGCTTTTTGTGGTTTGATCTTCTATTGGGATTATAAACAAAAGAAATACTGAAGATAAGTATTTTGTCCAAGAGATGATACTGGTAATATTGTGCACACCAAGCATTGCCAAAGGGTTCTTCTACAGGTCAACATTTGTTGTTCTTGTCAAGTAGAACTCAGTGAAATTTTGTCTTTAAAATCCCATCAGTTCAGTTTCCACTATAAAAACGTATGTGGCTGGGCAAGTGGTAAAACAGGAAAAGAACTTATTAAGAAATTAAATTAAAATTTATCAAAGTATAAAATCATCTGTGGTTGATGCAAACATAGACCCATTTCTGCTGGCTGAGACAGTCCATTCTAGTTGTGATTTTCCTCTTCTAGATGAAATACACAAAGCATTTCCCTATGAATTCCAAGCACATCAACTAATTCAGGAAACAAAACACCTTCGAGTAGTTTTATCCATCCCTCAGAGTTCAATATGTTTCACAAAAGAAGTCAGGCTCTATTTAAGAGGTTCAAACAATAAATTTTCCTTCTTTTTTAGTATCCTGATAGTAAAAGATTCATTTACATTTCTGATAAACAAAGAAGATTTTTTTTCATATTTCTTAACTGTGTTATCATAATTTTTTTTTTAAAGAAAATACTGATGAGAATTTCATACATACAAACATCAGGGTGCAGTCTTGTCCAGTGCAACACTGAACTCTAAATAGTAGAAATTAAGTCACGACACGTCTCAGCTATGAACTTGCCTGGCGATCGCTATGGTTAGAGACCTGTTATACCTGAATGCACACCTAACTGATAATAAGGACTATTGACCCATATTGGACTTTTTCCAGCTTGTTAAATACTTGCATTTGGAAGAAATGGAAATGTTGGAGTGCTCTTCCTCCACGTATGGACCCTTTTTATGAGGTAAAAATAGCTGGGAGGTGGTGGAAGGGGCAGGGGACAGTACTCATTGACACACAATTTCAATAGAAACAGCTAAATTAAGTTCCACCGTCTGAATTGTTCTTCACTGACAGTCATCCAACAGGAGCTTAGCAGTCTAATAAAGACACAGGGATGTGTCCTCACAACATATTAATCTGTTTTCTTACTCAGACCAGGCCTAAAACAACTTTGGAGAAAGGATATCAAAGTCATCCCTTCATTGAAAGATTACTTAAAAATTATTTGTAGAGAGTTTCACCCTCCTTTTTCAATGAGTCAGTCCTTCAACTCAAACAACCTTCACTACTTTCAGACTCCACTCTTTATCCACAAGAATCATCCTATCTTTGATAGTCTCAGAGAAATATCCTCAATTTCTTTCTTTCCCCTTCCTTTTCCAAAATACAATGAGACATTTAAAACTAGCATCTACCTTATTGCCTCTTGTATCCACTCTAGAATATACTCTGCCTTGTCCTGGTGACAGAGAAGTAGCTCTCCCTGAGGTAATGAAAGTTCTTTCCTAGTTAGATTTCAACTTACCAATTGTCACCTCCCTGACATCAGTGCTTGTTTGTCTATGTTACACCTAACTGATTTCTCTTTTTTTAAAAGCCCAAGAGCTTCCTTTCCCAAGTCTACATAAGTCTGTGTCTTATTTCCACTCACCTTCTCTGATTCACAAGTACAAATCCCAATGCCTTTTTCTGAACTACCCTCTCATTCCAGGAGCTATACTCAAGTTCCACCACAGTAACCTCAATCATTATCAAAACAGGTTAACCTGTTTATTACGGCTAGAAATACGCATTTCTGTTTGTGAAAACAATGCTGTCAGGGTTGATTTACTGACCTAGACAATAACGTTGCACTTGGTCTATGCATTTGAAGACTTTAACCCCCCTTCACACATGAGAGAAACCTCTATTTGAACAAGTTAAATTTCTTTAGCATAAATACAACATAAGGTGTGAAGTTCACAGCAAATTCAAAAGCTACATGAGTAGTAGTTTCATTTCTCTGAATACAAAAATAAAAACCTTTCTGGATATATAATAGCTTAAAAATAAAGTAATTCACCTTGAATAACAAAACAAATGTCTACTGTCAAATAACATTGTAACGTAAATTGAATCGAACTTACATCAGTAGCTGCTGTCAAGATTTTAGAAAGGATGACTCTTGCTAACCCATCTCTGCTGTAATCCAAGCTAGAAACAGTCAATTTTAACAAGTGATCCTGGTTCTTCAAAGAACAAAGAAAAAGAAGACTGGGGGGGAGGGGGGGGAAGAGAAGGAAATAAAAATTAGCAATTGAACCCACTCAGATCGATTTATTTATTCAATCATTGGTTTAAATTTAAGTACTCTGAATTAGATTTTCATGTCTATAAACACAGAATACAAAGTAAGTTCTAATATGAAATAGAGTTACTTTAAACTGTTAAAGCTATTAGAGCCAAATCAGGACCAAATAATACACTAAACTGCAAGGGAAAAAAACCCCAAACCAACATTTTTTTGTAATTGCTTTGTAATAATTTTGTCAGCACACTTTAATTAGTGATTATGAGTACAAATATTAATAATGTTCATGATACTCTGTGCACAATTCCTCATTCTAAAACATTCTGTGTATAAAGCTTACTGTAAGGTTAGTCCCATCAACTGTCTAGATTCTATTGTAAACAAAGTTTTCTGAAGCCAGTAAAAAACTTGCATTCTAATAGTCAATGAAAACAACTTAATTAAAAAACCCAAGGGTATATCAGAACACCTGAATTTTCACTTAAAGTTTACTGTATTTAAAATAGACTGGTATCAGCCACTAGCCAATTTACTCTCAAAGGAAGGTATGTTTATTTGTACCTGAAGAAGATTTTGAACTTCATAGCTTCACTTACACTAGACTGAAGTTTACGTACATGTATCATCACATTTCACAAACAGCATGATACCTGTCAGGTTTTGGTGGTTTATTTGGGTTTTGTTTTGAGTTCTTTTGTTTTTTGGTTTTTTTTCTTCTTGTGTCTTTTCAGTCTAGTATCACCCTTCCTGATACTCTCTGTCAGATAGGTGTGGACGTGAAAAAGTAAACTATTTTAAACTATTATAAACTGGGTATCTTGTGAGTAAATCAAAAGAACTCTTAAGTTTTCAGCTACTCATGCACAGTTTACAATTTCCATAACTATTATACCTGTAAGCACAATTCAAACAGAATAAAGAGACTCACCACTGAAACACATTACATTTTTCAAGCATTTTCACTCCATGAGGGTGACAAGAGAGAGTACCAAAAAACAAAAAGTAGTGCTGGCTAAGGGTATTTAGTAACCCATTATTTTGAAGACTACGTTCAGGTTTCATTCCTGATGAAGAGTTGAGCCAATGTACGATATCTTTAACCAATTCCTCCAGGTAACCTTGTCCATCCTAACAAAACAAAGAGTAATAGCATTTACTAGTAACAGAACTGGGACTCTCTTATTTACTGAAAACGATTTTAAATTTCTTAGAATGTCCAAACACAATACAGATACAAAACAGAAAAGCTAGCTGGCAAACAAGATTTTAAGTTCTATTTCTTAATTACACCGATCATTTTAGATTTAACACCCAAAGTCTACAGAAGTCTTTATTAAAATTAAGGTTTTTCCTCTAAGTGGCATACAGCAGCACTACTCATTCTACCTCCACTCCGGGAGCTGAAAATTTCTTACCTCTTCTGATTCAAGAAGAAATTCAGTAAATTGACAACCCACCACAGTGAGCTGCTTAGCCTTGGCATAGTCCAGATCCAGGCTGGCATACAGTTTACTGCTAGGTTTGTAAAAATACAGCAATCTCCTTACAAACCTATGGAAAGTAAAGAATTTACTGTTTTCCAGAACAACAAGCACAGTCTCACAGTACAAAATGATGCTGGTAGAAAAGACACGTTAACACTAATTAGCTTATTGGCAATAAATTTTTGAAAGTTATTAAGAGTAGCAGGTAGCAGTAATGAGTCTATCCAGACCAAATTCAGGGATGCATCTGTACTGGGTGTTATAAAGGGTTTTCTATGCCGTAACTTAATAAGCAAAGGAACTCAAAACCTCTACGCTCTTAGAAGCCATAGATTCTTTCTTATTCTCATGCTTATAATTTATTCTGCTGTAATTTATCCCGTGGTAAGTTTCAAAAACTGTACTATCTAGACTTAGAAAGAGCTAAAAAGGAATCTGTGACATGAGTTTTCTTCAGCTATAATAGTTAATGCTACTGTGAAAAATATATTTGTGTGTTCTGCCAGGAAAAGACCATATTTATTCAGCAACAGTATTTTCATTCGCCTCATATTCTAAAGCATAACACAGTGATTGCAAATGCAGACTCTCACTCAAGCTTTTTGAAATCATGGTGAGCAATATAGCTCGAGTTTTGCATTGCAGGACTAAGTCTTCAGCAAAGAGCTTCCCTTCGCCTATTCTTAGTAAAAAAATAAACACACATTTGTGATTTAAAATAATACAGAATGTTCTGTCTGAAGGTAGAGATGTCACACATTAAGAAAACTAATAAAAACCTAAAGCACTGTGCCTTTAGTTTAAAAAGTGAGAGAAAACCACTATCCCCAACTTCAAATATAGGACCAATTACAAAGGAAATCTGAGGGCTTCTTTAAGTTTTGTTAAATGAAATGCATTTTATTCTGGGTTATTAGCAATAGTGATATATATCAACACACATATTTATATGTGTGTATATATGTGTATACTTAAGTGTGCATATATTAATGGATATATACATACATGTGCATATACCCATTGCATTAAATGTATCTCTATGAAATGAAGGCATCTATATCAAAAGTATGTGGAATTTCACTTTAACAGCCATAAGATCACCACAAGAACACTAAAATTAAAAGAAAATAAACTTATGGAAGGACAAATAAATGTATTTTATACTTCAAAAATAAAGTGGTTGAAAACTTTTTATGATGAGCAATGAAAAGAGATATTCAGGGCTCAATTGATTGGTCTAACATCTAACCCACAATTCTGCAGAAAGTATCAACAAACTGTGGAAGTTTTACACTAACTCAATCCTAGATTTTCTCAATTTACTTGGAATTAAATTATTTAGAAACTGAACAATGCCTGAGTGCAGCACAGAAACAGGGAACAGGAACATTTTACCATAAAGTACAGATTGGCAATTAATGTCTAGGGAGGAAAAAAACAGGTAAAAATACAAATGCAAAATTAAATTATGGCTATGATTACAATAGGACTACTTATGCTGGGAACACTATACAAAAGTAGCCTGATTACTTTTTAGTAAAAATTTAAAATGGAGCCGCATGAGCCTTTCAGCATATGTTTTATTTAGCTTTAGATTTTTCCTCAAATTCATGTAGAAGTAGCTTTCCATGCCTACAAATACAGAACTACTCTTCAAAATAATTTAAAGAAATATATTTCTGAAATGCACGTTAAAGGGGACATCCAAAAACTAATTAGTAACACTATTACCACACACACACAAAAAGTAGTAAAAATGTCTTAATGCCAACAGATGTGAAAGGAACCAGAGCTGTACTCTTTTTTTGGCTTTTTCTTTGTTTTTTTGAAATCACACATGCTTCCCTTGCCATTAATAGCAACTAGAAATAACTTCCCCTTGGTTTTTGACGAAAGCTACAACAATATACCTGTACAACTGTAGACCTATTCTGTCACAATTTGTCAAGTGCTGACATCAAACACTAATGTATGAAATATCAGAGGCAATACTTTAAGGTTTAAAATGAAACAGGTTGTTTGCAAAGCTGGTATGATTATTGTTAAGGGAATAAATATAAAGTACCTGTGCAAAGAAAAGAAACCACTGAAGTTTAAAGACCTATTTGTTTAAAGCAAATATTGCAACCTAATTATTTAAATTTTCAGTTTTGCTACTTATCTATAGATGAAGTTTTAGAAATGTGACATATCCAAGTAATAGTTTATTGCAATATTAAAAATATTTTTTCCAAGTTTCTTTCTTCAAAGGAAGTCTATACATACCTGTGCAATTGTTCATCTTTATAGTTCCTTAGATTTACATTTGGCCACTAGAAAAACAACAAATATAGCATTATATGAAACTTGTACATTAGTCGTGGAATCACAGAATCATTAAGGTTGGAAAAGACCTCCAAGATCATCAAGTTCAACTGTCAACCCAACACCACCATGCCTACTAAACCATGTCCTGAAGTGCCACGTCTACATGTCTTTTAAACACCTCCAGGGAAGGCAATGCTACCACCTCTCTGGGCTGCCTGTTCCAATGCTTTCAGTAAAGAAATTTTTCCTAATATCCAACTGAAACCTCCCCTGACGCAACTTGAGGCCATTTCCTCTTGTCCTATCGCTTGTAACTTGGGAGAAGAGATTGACTACAACCCCCTTTCAGGCAGTTGTAGAGGGTGGTTAAGGTCTCCCCTCAGCCTCCTCTTCTCCAGGCTAAACAACCTCAGTTCCCTCAGCTGCTCCTCAGGAGACTTGTGCTCCAGACTCCTCACCAGCTTCACTGCCCTTCTCTGGATACCCTCCAGCACCTCAATGTCCTTGTTGTAGTGAAGGGCCCAAAACTGAACACAGTATTTGAGGGGCGGCCTCAGCAGTGCGGAGTACAGGGGGACGATCACTTCCCTACTCCTGCTGGCCACACCATTTCTGATACAAGCCAGGATGCTGTTTGGTCCTCTTGGCCACCCGGGCACACTGCTGGCTCATATTCAGATGGCTGTCAACCAGCACCACCAGGTCCTTTTCCACCAGGCAGCTTTCCAGCCACCCTTCCCCAAGCCTGTCATGTTGCATGGGGTTGCTGTGATCCAAGTGCACGACATGGCACTTGGCCTTGTTGAACCCCATATAACTAGCCTCAACCCATTGATCCAGCCTGTCCAGATCCCTCCGCAGAGCCTCCCTACCCTCCAGCAGATCAATACTCCTGCCTAAATTGGTGTCACCTGCAAACTTATAGAGGGTGCACTTGATTCCCTTGTCCACATCACTGATGAAGGTATTGAACAGAACGGGCCCCAGTACAGAGCCCTGGAGAATACTGCCTGTGACCAGTCACCAGCTGGATTTAACTCCATTCACCACCCCAAGTCTTTGGCCCCTGCCATCCAGCCAGGTTTTTTTTCGTACCCAGCGAAGAATATGCCTGTCTAAGCCATGAGCAGCCAGTTTCTCCAGGAGAATGCTGTGGGAGACAGTGTCAAAGGCTTTACTAAAGTCCAGGCAGACAACATCCACTGCCTCATCCACTAGGTGAGTCACCTGGTATCGAAGATCAGATTGGTCAAGCAGGACCTGCCTTTCATGAACCCATTCTGGCTTGGCCTGATCCCCTGATTGTCCTGCACATGGCTGGTGAGTGCACTGAAGATGAACTGCTCTTTGATTAGTCACTAAAATCTACTCATTTCTATTACAGTTATACTTTATTAATAATTAGAAGGGTAAGTTTTCTTGCATCTGATGTTACCTCTAAACCCCCCTTATTTTACTGAAAAGCCCCCACTTACTGCTCCAAGAACCGTTCGACTTTTTTCTAGAAAAGGACAGGGAATGTCCATTGCATGATATGTGCACAAGGCCACAATTCTAATGAAAACAGCAAACTATGAAAACCTAATGAGAAATAAGTAATTTTGCTCAGTTTCTCCTCTGCAAATAACAGAAAAAAATTGACATGCATAACAGGGCAATCATTTTGTTGATGTTTTCACTCTTAATCAGATTTGTTTTAAAAATAATCATTGTTCTGTTATAGCTCACTTCAATACTACTTATTAAAATTTTATTTAAACTCCTGTGTTGATACTTCCTTAAATGTTTTATGAGGGATCAGATGAAGTCATACTACTTTCTTCCAGACCTATCCTTTCTTCCCATTATATTTTCCTCTGTTTTTACAGCCATCTGTTGTCTCAATTATTTCAGATTTATTTTGTTGTTACTAGCAAGAATCTCCTTGGAAGGGATGGAAGAAAGTGCATCAAATATTCTTCTTTCCTACCTAAGTGATACAATTCTACATTTCTAATTGGTATACTAGTATTTAGACATATAGTGCATTAGTTAATGATCAGTAAAACTGACTGTACTAGTAACACTGCTAGATAAAGTATGAAGCTCTCCTGTCAAAAAAGGTCGCAATGCCTCCATTCTGACCACTGCCACTTCTGCTGCTTAGACAGCAGGCTGAGCAAGTAAAAAAAGACAGCAAGAGACCACATGAGATGCAAGCAGTGAGGCGTTTAGAAAGCTGATGCTCCACAGCTGTAAGGCTGCAACAGAGACAAGAGGGAGGTGAGTAGCCACATGAGATAGTGAAGTTCAAACACTGGAATCTGGATCCTGCTCATTCAAGGACTAAAGCTGGACCACTCTGATAACGTTATCTCAGTTTATGCTGGTGTTGTGCAGTTTTAACAGGAACAGAAGTGGTTAGAATTAAACCAGAAAACACACAAACTTCTCACTCTGAAAAACAGAAGTCCCTGATTTGAGACTTTAGCAACTGTTTGACAGGACACTAGAAAATATTCTGCTGGGGAGGTCTGAGATAGCAGGGCAACTGACAGTTTGACCTAAATGTCAGGTCAAAAAAACTCCAAAAAACCACCTTAGTGGTCAACTACATAAAACTTCCATTGTCAAAGCACTACACAGATTAATTAACAGAGAGATTCTGTAAAATAGTTTCTTGATAATAACTTTAATACTGAACCAAAGGTAAAAATATCTATGATTAATAATAATAGATAGACAGTAATCCAGTAAATCTTGTAGTTGCAGTAAAAAGCCTGTGAACAGTGAAATTTGGTGGAGCAAAGCTACTGTCATATGCATACTCAGGTCTTTATATCAGACAGATTCTTGGCTCTCTCAAGTTTATGAATCCCTGAAAAAATGCACAGAAATATTTAGTTTCTTTTTTTAAATATAATGTTGATTATGATTGTCACCATTAATCCTTTTTGTTCTTCTGCCATCTTTATAACAACACAATAAAGAAGACAGTAAGAAAATGTTACTTGGCGGTAACAACAGAAGAATGGCTTCGATGCACAGAATGACAGGAGCTATTTTGCTTCCAAGTCTATACTGAGTACTCACTCAGGAAGTTTTTTTACTCAAAGTAAGTTTTCTGCTTAAAAAAAGAGGCAGTCTCTTAAAAGTTGTGCATTATATATATTTAAGATAATGCCCTCCCTGTCAGAGATATTTCCTTTATTTTGTAAAAACAAATTAATATTGTAATGAGCTTGATGCTACAAGAGTATTTGTACTAGTGCAAAACATAGAATGAGATTGCATACTGCTGAAGTTTTCGTATGTGGCTCAGTCTAACCGTCCACATTTTGATCTATAATCCTCCAGCCTTAATGTTCAGCTCATGCTACATAAAAAAATCTGCTGTGAAGCCAAATGAGGCAGCATTCCTGTCTAATCTAGACTGAAGTCTGAAGTATTGACACCTTTTAAGTCATAGCTAATTTTGTGAAGTCTATTTCTATATAAAGATCCTAATTTTCTGAAATAAAACAGATTATGGGATGTAGTATGGAATTAGTATTAGAAAGTCAAAACTCACATGTGAAATGGAGACTTTTTTCCAAACAATTTCATAATAACATCATGCCCTTTTTAAGCTCACCTTCAGTATGGTCCCTATTAGATTCCAATTCCAGTCAAGGTTCTCTTTATGATTAAGAACTTGGCTGTCTCGAAGATTCATTACAAGCGCTTCTTCTGTGTCCTGGAATACAAACATGAAAAACTACAGTAAGTTTCCTTGCATCAGTTTTTTTTTCAGACTTGTCACAAAATATACTTACTGTTCATGTAACCATCGTTAAAAGAGCTACGCTCCACAGTAATTTGCATTTGAAAGTAAATGGCATAGTTAAAGCACTGCATTAAGAATCTGATAGTAAGAGATCACAACTGGTCCTAAAAAGCATTAAAAATTATTGTAATTTCATTCCTCAATTTCTAGAAATACAATATAGTATCCACAAGTACCTGAAAGACAAATTAAATGAAAAAAATACTACAAAGAAATCACACAAATAGCTCTGAATTAGATGAGAGAGTAACGCCTGGGGGGCAGGATCTAAGTCTCCAAAACAGAGAGTCAAATTCAGTTTTGAAAGATCAATAATGGCAATACCTTTAAAATAAAAATGTCTTTCTGCACACGGTACTGATCCCTTTTTTGGTGTGTTGAGATTGCTTTCTGAATAATATGATCTAAATGGAGACTGTAAGGTTTAGGTCCTCTTTTCTTCATCTCGTGAAAACGTTTCAAGCAGTTGAGTGCGGCACTTGCTCGTCTAATAGAAAAAAAAAGACCATAATCAGTATTTGGCAACTGTTAACCAACTACAGAGTGCCACTGCTATAACTTGCGTAAATAAACGTAGCTCAAGAAAAAACTGACCAACAATTCCAAAGCAAATAAAAGGAAAATAATTTTCTTGATACAGATTTTCATACATCCATAGACCTCAGTCTTGTACTGAAAGTATACAAAAAATTATCTTTCAGAATTTCTGGTACTGAAGAATGAGAGTTATTGATACCTTTTCTTCTACTCTGCAATTAGTGGTGTCTACCACAGAAGATACTGTAAAGTTCAAAATTGATAAATTACTGTAAGGTGTCATAGTAGATCAACGTTCTGAAGTGAAGTTGAGAGCTGAAGGGGCTAACTTCAGCTTTGACTAAAAGTATTTCTTGTAAATTTTCTTTCTTTCCCCAGAGGGTGGCAGGAGTATGAGTAGTATGTTTCCTGCTCTTTATATCTAAAGAGTTCAGCAGCAGCATGTAAGAAGTTTTGCAGGAAAAGATAGGAAGTAATAGAAATGACAGTTGACAAGGGCAGAAACAGTTAATTACAAAATAGTGGTAGCAGGAAAAAAAAAAAACCCTGCTAAGCAAACGTAACAAGGAAGTCTAAAAATGAGGAGGTAAGTCTACCTTCCTTCCCCATAAACAAAAATTCTCACAGGGTAGGCTGTGTAGAGTGTTTTAATATTGTCTTCAAATTAACAAATACCTTTGAACTTGGTCACTTATCTAAATTACATAAATGTAATCTGTAACAGGGCTTACAGTTTTTCAGAGTATGAAACAATGCAGAGTGTTGACCAAAACCAAGATCCTTGAATGAAAAAGTACTACTTGTACAAAATCACTTTCATCCAATAAAAACAGGCGTTCTTACTAGTCTATCAGGTATGTACACAAATACCAAAAAGCAAAAACCCTGCAGGTAATCCATAAATGTATCCCTTCTGCTCTTCATGCTTCCTTTTATCCCACAGTTTTGGCCAAGTGAAATATCCTGTGACAGGGTTTCAGATATGTCTTTTTAAAAAAATAACTGTGTTTTCACGTATCAAAATCTCCTACTGACATGTAAGAAACCTTCAAAACTTAAAAGCAGAACACCACTACGTTTCTTGGAAGCACTCTACAAGCAGCATTTATCATTTCGCAGTAGCAGTTTGGAAAGATTCTGTAATTTATCACTGACAATACAATGAAAGACAAAATAGAAAGTTATGTTGTATTTATCAGAATACTAGTCTGACAAGACAGATCAGGAATGGCAACAGTAGTTAACAAAAACATTTCCTATAGTTTTCTATTAGAAAAAACCCCAACACACTCAATTTAAATGGTCTTCTACAAAGAAATGCAAGTAAGAACACTGAGTTACAGAAACACATTTTAAAGATACATGAATCCATCAAATTATTTGACTTCTTTCCTCAGGAGGTTTAAATTGTGTGAAGTATCCAGGAGATGGTATTTTGTAACAGAGCACTTCAGAGGTTGAATTGCAAGATTAGTATATGTACAGAGAAATTCTAAAAAATAAGTAAAATAAAATATGAAAGTCCATAGGTTTTTAAAATCTCAGAATTCAGGTATTTCTAGTTCAAAGAGGAACAAAAAGCTTCTATGATAATTTTTTTTTTCTACGAGTTGGATGCTTAAGTATACCTCATTTGATTGGCACCACAACTACCAAACAGTTCCCTAATACTGCTTAACTACATGCCACTGCAGAATACTGCACTAAATTTAAAATTTCTGTTCTTACATTCTTATCCTTATATGGAACTGAAAGGAACTGAAAAAATTATCAGTGCAAACTTCAAATGGAAGCACCAGAAAGTTTTAACTTAATTACTATTGTTACAATCACCATTTTCTTCTAAAGAAAAAGAGGTTTGAAAAAAAAATTACATTTTTTGCTCTTGGTCACACAAATAATGACTCACTGATTTGGTCTATTACTATTTAGCTATAGATCAACAACAACAGAAGAAAAAAAAATTGGTACAGGCTATTTTAATTTTGAAAGCTTAAGTGTATCATAATGCCATAAAAGAAGTGTGAAACAATGGAGAGGTCAAACCCACAGAACACGTCTCGGATGTTGCTTGGTCAAACAGTGCCTCAGAGTTCATTTAAGAACAATTCTGTGTAAGAATCTTGAAATCTATGCAAAAGTGTTCTTATATCTACTATCAAAACTTTCTTTCCAAATTTCTAAATTGTTACTGTAAATAGTTTTGGAATGACGCACTGGAAACTGCTTCCCTAGTAAGTGCGACAGCATTTCTATATGCATGCGTTCATTTGCTTTCAAATAAAGACAGAAAAGGTTTCAATCACCAGAAAACCTGTAACATAGGTTTTCACTCAACTGTAGGGGGAAAAGGAGATGTAAATATTTTTGATTTTAAGTGTAACTTAGAATTCTTACAGTCTTTTCTCTTTCATGATGTCAAAAGATGCTGCCATATTCATTAGGGTTGGTAAGCAGTGAAGGTGATGGCTGTGAGAATGAGGAAGAATTGTATTTGCCTAAAAAAAACCCAACAGAAGACCAGTTAGAATACCTGATTACAACATTTTCAGCCAACACTTTAGGATCAACGTTTGCAGAATCTACTACTTTTCACAAGACTTCCACAAATGCATGACAACAAAACTACCTTTTCCATAAGGTTAGAGCAATAAATACACATACCATTTTGAATATTTGATCTAAACAATAAATCTGAAATACAATTGAAAGTAACTTAAACCAATTTTCAACTTCAGAGCCTTCTAATCTGTATTGTTTGCACAGGTCATTTTTTAAGTGGTAACATGCAAAGCGCCAGGTATCTTTAATGTCATGTGTATAAAAGTACTAAAAAATCAGAAATGCAATTTAAGCTGACGATTTCTGTTAAAAACTTCCTGCACAAAAAAAAAATCTGATTAATTAACATCGGTTTCTAAATTATTAGACATTTAATTGTTTTTGTTTTGGGAAACACAGGTAGTTCTGCAAATATTTTTGGAAACTAAAGAATAAGATAAAGAAATTACTTCAATCTCTTAAAACTAAATAAAAGTACAAATATTTGTTCAGTATTTCTATAAACAGTCATCTCTGACTAATGAAAACCAAAAAATACCATATGCTTTGCAGCATACTCAAATATCAGTAACAGTCACTCCCATTCAAAAGTATTCCAGAAACCAGAAAAATAGCATACATTATTACGGATTCCTCTTTTTAAACTACATGGCTGACTGAATACTCAAAGAATTCCACCAATTATTTAAAGAAAAATCACTGAAGAGACTAGAGAACAGATTTGTTGTGGTTGTGACCCACGCTGCTGAGCTGACGTTGTAAATCACTGTAGTAATAAGTAATCTTGTATCTGAAGGTTGTGATCTTGTTTTTTGGACCAGTAAGCACCAGTGAAATGAGTCAATAGTCTGAAGATGCAGACTATGTCTGATAACTCATGTTCAAATTTTTGTAAGACAGAGTTGTATTTCACAGTACTACCACCTCTTCTGAAGTAGATTATTTGGAAAATAGATTAAAAAAAACCCCAAGGAAACTAATCAGAAAGTGCTCTGCTGCATATGCTATTATTGTCATCAAGAGAGGATGTGAAAAATAAAAGAACTGTTTTTCAAGAAAGCTAAATCCTATCACTTCACATATAACTAAGAGTTCCTCAGGAGGCTGAAAGGTAGCACTGCAGTGCACATGAAAACAATGATATCATCTCTATACCAAAATAGTTTTATTTAAGAGGCAGAAGCTGTTTAAGAAGTCTGTTAGGTAGAGGAAGGTGGAAGGAAGCAAGGTCCCTTCAGCTTCTCTGTAGCAGGGGCTACCCACAGCAGTGCTGAAAGAGCACTCCGCCAAGACAGAGCTGCCCGAATGAATAATATCAAGTGCCCCAGCCACATCAATTTGAGCGTGAAAAAAGTTTCATTTGCCTAGCCTGTAAGGCAGAAAGCCAAACACACTGCCAGAGGGCTATCACTATTCCAAGAAAAGCAAAAGGAAGCAATGGTCCTTTTCTCAAACACCGTAACAGATGGTGAGTTTGCAGGACTCCAGCTTAAAAATGCATATGGCTACTGGGGCAAAGAAGTTTATTGGTAAGAGTCTGAGAGCTGAGGATTATCCTTAGAGCAAAACCTCTAGCACTTTCAATACTTGCCAAATGGCCTTTCTATTGATTCATACTGGTTTTAATATACGAAGTGCCAAGAGATATGATGTAAATTAAGTCCTTATTCTGACGAAAAGTAGATGTTTCAAGTTGGTAACACAAACTCAAAGCTATAATAGGAAACACCTATTTACAACTAGCCACTAATACTACTTACTCTGAGCAAAAATTTTTACTTACCATGTGCAAAAGTTCTCCTAAAAGGATAGTTGCTCTAACAGATACATGGTCATCACTACTTGTGATCACTTCAACCAGACCCTTCAAAAAGTTAAAAAATTATTACAACATTTAATGTAAAAGATCTTATTTTAATGTTTATAAGAAAAAAGCAGCAAGCATCTATTCAAATTTAAAGACATTAGTTACCTCGAGAAGTCCATTGGTAATAAAAGCTGAAAGCACTAAAGCCAGATAATTATCCATGAGATCAGGCCTAAGGAGAAACAAGTATGGTAACAGTTTAGAAAGTTAATTTCTTACTGTGTCTGCAAGAAAACAACAAATATTTTGTCAACACCACCACAGAACAAAAATAAGGGTTTAGTCTAAGTTCATTAAATGCTCACCTTGACCTGGCTCGATGGGGTAATATAGTTTTAGCTTCAGCAGCTACAAAGCCATCAGAAAGTCTCCAGCAGTCCTGAAACCTGCTTGGATCTAGAACAAGAAAACATGGACAATGGTAATTTTAACACCGTATTTCATACTGTTATTTTAATGGTTGTCTGTAGGCAAATAATAGTTCTTGCCAACAAATGTTATTTCAGGTTTCAAAGTATATAAAATTCTGTCAGAAGGGATCTCTAACAAGTAATCTAATCCACACTCCTGAACCAGGAAAGGCTAACTTCAAAGCTAGGACAAAGTATCTAAGTATCAACCAAAATGACATTTCCAATTCATAAACACATTAAACTTGTTTGACAGGAAATATCATAACACCTAAAATTTTTCAATGTACATCCATATATTGCAAAGTAGCAGGTTTGCAACAAAGAATCATTTATTTACTTATAAATGCAGAACAAGGATTAAGCTTTTATAATCACCTGCATGACAAAACATTTATAACCAGAGTTTGGAAAAGGGAACTGCTGGAATGTTAAAGGCTGAAACTTGCTCCTTTTGGGCTCATACTTTTGCACTTTGAAACAAAGCAGAGGATACTCTTGGGTTTACAAAGGAGTGATTCTAAAGATAAAAGACTAACTCTGATATAAAAAGACATAAAAAAGCATACACTTGCCCTAGGAAAAGTAAAAGTCTGCTAAAGTGCACTGGAGATAGCTAGCAGATAGACACTATATGGAAAAGACTGTTTAATAACTTTTCTGTAACATTCACCAACACACCTACATTACTAATGCTTCTAACACTTCAAAGAAGTCTAGTTTGTAGTAATGTGTTTACACTCTTTTGTGTAAATACTTAATTACAATCCACTGCTCATCTTTTATCAAACTTACAACACTTAACAGTTGATAAAGAATTTTAAACAGGACTTCAGAGCACCCAATGAATTCAGTGATGAAACAGTTAATATTGACGTAATTTACAATACAGATGAGACAGTGAAGGGTTCAAATTTGCAGAAAAACTTAATGGACAGAATTCTTATGTGAACTAGTTCTAAATACTTACCTACACTGAGAAGTGCCTCAATGAATTCTTCTGCGATAACAGGGAGAGGAAGGCGAAATATATCATAAAGAACTTCAAGCAGACCTTGCATTGTTGTTCTGTTCACTATTAACACTAAAGTTGCAATTTCTACACAGTGCTAAAATTGGTGTATTTCTTTCAGTGTTTCTTTTTTTTTTTATAACATGCTTATTTTCATAAACTGAAATAATCTGGAGAAGAGAAGAAGGGAAGGAGCTTGTTTACTTTAGAACTGTGTTTTATTGTCACTGTAAATTCCACAGAATGTCAGGCTACCTGGATTACAGATCTTCAGAATAGTTACTGCTGCCACCATCAACTTCTTGGCTTAATAGGTAATTGGGAATTTTTATTTATCTCAGATTCAACTGTGACTGTTGTGCTTTAAACTTGTAACTGCAGCTACCATGAACTTGCTTTGACTTGTAATCAGAACAAAAAATAATTTACATACATTTCTGTCCTCCATTCCCTCCTCTCAGACATACAGGGTGTGCTTCCATTCTCACAGGAATTTTATAATGGAAATACAGAGTTGAACTTGGGGGTCAAATAAACTCAAAGGTAATGGTCTCATAACGGGAGCTTGTGTTTAAACATCTAAATTGTTAAAATGTTAAGAACATGTTACTTAAAACATCCAAAATTATTCATACATCAGTACTAAATATTTACCACCTACCCGTATTTCCATATTTGGTATACAGAGTACCCCAATAAGAGACTGAATCCCAGAATTTCCAGGCTTGCACAGGCTGATAATACCTAGAAAACATTAAATACATAATATCCTCTCACCAAAGCGCTAGACACATTGTTAAATTTGATTTCCAATTTGAGTACAAGCACAGAATACAAAAATTACTAATCATAAACATCTTCACCTTTATAATGTCATCTCCTTTCCAATCAGTAATATTTAACATGTTTCTAATGACAAAACTTTGTCTCCTCATTAAAAACCATAGCTACTTTTGCCCTTTGTTACTGTGAACAGTATTTTTAAATTATCTGCAAACCCAATATTTACGTGGAAGAAATGGCAGAAAGAAAAGACAAAATTGTTGATAAAGACTGAACCTTAAACCTGAAAAATTTGCAGCATCTTAGCAGAACTGTGAGAAGTTTCTCCATCAAAAGCTGTATCCTAACCTAACAAATTATTCAATTCCTTTTAATCTCAGGTGAATTCAAAACAGCAAGTTTAAACATACTTAGAATTACATTTTCTGTGCACAATTTTAAACCATCTTTTCCCAAATGACCAGTGCTTATCTCCAGAAATTTTAACACAGTAGATGTTAGCTTTACATAAAATCTCAGACTCTTACAATTTGATCCTTTTACACTGTATTTTTAACATTTCAATATTAATAGAGAAAACCTTTAAATTGTTTCTAAACGTTACAAAATACCACCTAAAGCTTACATTGATTTTCAGCCTCAATTTAAATACAGTCTCTTCATTAAAAATGTGGCTGCAAAGACAGTAACCTTGCTCATTTCCTTGACCACTTCTCTTCATACTTCACCGAATAAATTAAAACTTACAAGTTTCTCCAAAATGCAAATTTAAATGACCAAAAAGAATCCATGTTTGCACACCTTATGTCTCATGTATCATAAATAAACCCAAAACATAATTCTTTAAAAATTACTAAAAGATGAAAAATATCACCTACTTACCTGTTTATTTTCACTAATACAAATTTCACTTCAGTGACATGTGGTTTATATGAACTTGAAGAAAGTCCTCAATTCCAAAACTTCCATGTCACAAAACCTTAACACATGCACATGTGGCCACAGAGACACTAGGGGCATTTAAATACACTCCACACTGTGCCTCAGAGGCCTTTTCCAAGAGCATACAGTGGCTACATCCTAACTGCAATGCAGGAATAGATTTGGGTGCTGCATGCCCCAACTTTATCTCTAAGGGCATTATCACACATGAGGATAAAGGACACAGTAACCAACAGCTCTGAAGAATAACCTGGGTCTGGAAAATAAGGATTGCAGTAGAACACAGCATATAGTACAGAGAGGCAAAAACCCCACCCAAAAAGCCAAAACCAAGAACACCCTTAAGCCTGGTTAGCTACATATCCTTTGGGAAGACTGACAGTGTTAAGGACATTTTTGTACTAAAACCATTTAATATTTTAGTCTCCAACAATAACAAGTAATATAAAAAAGGATGAATGTGAACCAGTGAAAGTGCCATGGCAATTAACATATTCCAAGACAATTGTTTCTTCAGTCACTCGAACTTTCAGGCTTACACTATTAGTTCTAAGTGTCTGAGTAAAGAAGATGCAGCAACACTCCTATCAGAAACTGCTTCCTAGAAGTTTCAAAGTTGTCACAAACTTCTCAAGCTTCCTCCCCAAATAAGTGAGAACACATGAGAAACTTTTGAAGGACATCCAGATATTAATTAAGCTTACCAATAATTTTCAGAACATTAAAAAATAAAGCAGATAGTCTTACAATGAAAAAGGCTTTCTATACAGTCTGAATCTTGCCTAAGTATAGCCTGTAAAAATCCTACCCAAAATTTTGGTAAATGGTCATATCAACTGATTTAGTTTATTTGACTAAAAGAACGAGCAGTCCCTGAGGCGGTATCTTCATGCTAAATACTGTAATATGGCAGAGAAACAATTTAGAAAAATGCAAAAACCTTTTTCAATTTAGAAATGCCTTCTACACAAAAAATCCCAAACTATGTGATTTGCAGTTTCTCTTCACCTGTGGTACCTGGTAAAAGCAGGTGCTAATGAAACTATTCTGTTGTTATCTCTTCACATAGACAAAAATATTGGTTATTTACAGTGGCAGAACCATCTCAAAGGCAAATTCTTATGATGTTATTTTCAAATGTCAAGAAGTACCATCAAGTTACAACTCATAAGGTATTCTATGGGGGGTAGGGGAGAAAGCTGCATCCTGTCAGTACAGTTGGTCAAAGAAAACTATGTACGTGTCCTCCAATTTTACAGTATCAAAACACATCTTAGTAGCACTGTAGGAAGGTATCGATAGAAATTAGACACATCAAATGACACAGATTCTGTGTTTAAACAAAACACTGTTACACATTTCCCTTCCAATCATCCAGCTTCAAATAAATGTCTTACCTGCCCATGATCGAAATGCTGCCACTATTCCCATTTTACTAGCTAGGAACCGTGCTTCTCTGTCTTCCCTGTCATTAAAACAACAAATGTCACAATACAATTAATTACTATAAACCAGTGTTACTAACATAGAGAGTAGAAAGTATTTAACTGAGATTTTAGATGGGGGACAAAATCCAGAGTAAGAGAAATCTTTTACGTCTGCATAGATGTGGGCATATGCATTATGCAGTATGTATACACACACACAAAGATTAGAATTTTTAAGCACTGCTACTTTTCCTTTTTCAGGGGAGTTTCCACAGTAGGAAGGTAACATCACAAATTAAACACCTAGACGTGATCAGATGAATCACTCTGCCTCCACCGATAGTGAGTCTACAGCATGGACATAAAGGTTTGGACCTTATTCAGTTAGCCAGACCTAAGCATCTAATGCCATTTGATAATTAAAAACACTGAATTATGGAAGTAATCCCAGCAGGTCTCTAGTCCAAACTCCTGCACAAAGAAGTTGTCAGCTATGAGATCAGACCAGGTTATACTCAAGGCTTTATCCAGTTGGGTCTCAGAAATGCTCAAGGATGAAGGCCGCAGGACCTCTCTGGACAGCCTGTTCTAACACTTGACTGGCCTTACAGAAAATTCCCCTCCTTGCCCTTATAGCACATTGGAACCTCTCTTGTTTCAATTTCTCTCTGTTGCTTCTTGTCCCACTCTCACTACCATGAAGGGCCCTGGCTACATCTTCTTGATAACATCTTCACAGATTCTAAAAAGGCCGTTACTGAGGGGAGGGTGTCTGCCAACCTTCTCTTTTCCAGGCTAAACAAGCCCTTTTAAATCTTAAATGCTTAACAGATTTTAGGAAGTTGCTTGCTAACCTACTGCCTTCAACTTCAAGTAGTTTAGTATTAAGTCGTTGCTTTTATTTTCACTTTGAAAAGAAAAATAGTTTAATTCCAATACCATGAACACAACTAGTAGCACAAGTAGCAGCACTAACACTTACTTGAGTTGTCCTTCTGCTGTGTCTGGATTATGCCTGTAGTGAAAATCTGTGTAAGGAGCTAAAATTCGCTAAACAAAAGAAAGACATGCATTACTTTCACATGAGAATACAGTTAGGGTCTTGCCCTTTCCTCAGTCCCACTCCAGTTATTCCTGCTTTATAAATCATTATGCTTTTAGCCTAAAACATTGTGTTTTAAACATTTGGCACTAACACAGAGGGTGAAATCTGAGATGAAAATTAAACATTTTCGTTAGTAATACAATGTTTAATTTCTGTCACTAAACAAGTAAAACTGAACCCACCTCTAATTCTACATCTGCTCGCACGTACTGTCGAGTCTTTGGATGATTAATGAGGTGCAAAACTGTAGTTATCAGAGCCTCATTTATTCGGCTCAGCTGACAATCAATCACATTTTTCAAGATGGTACTTAAGCCACCCCGAAGAGCCACCACCTCAGGATTCTGAAGTGCTAAATAAAGAAAAACACGTCACTTTGGCCAGGGATAGGAAAGAAAACATTTCACAGCTTCCAACATGACAAATTTGTCCTCTCTTTAATACATGTAGCTTTTTCTTCCTGGACACTGGTGAGGCACATGTAAAGCTTTTAATGGAACTGACTGACATTAGCAATTAATAGAGATTTTGGATTAACTGATCATGAACAAAAATACTGTTCAGTCAGTCACCACTGTGCAGCAATTTCCCAACTTATTTCCAACCAAGCTCCCATACAGTAGTTTCTGGATATCCCCGCAAAAAAGGTTTTGTGCTTCACTGGACTGCCATGGGTAAAATAATTTGCCATGGGTAAAATAATTATACCAGAATATAAAAAAGTAACAGATCGTTTATTATTTTAAAACAGAAGTTTGTATCTTGAAAACATTGCTGCAGTTATTCCTCATTGATTGATTTTGAAAACACTGGCACCCACATACAAGTGTAAGGACTTAATATAAAGCACTGTCCAGATAGCCCTTACATGGACACAATTATTGACTTCCAGAAGCCAGCTAACCACAGTACCCACTGTAAAAATTTTTAAAGGAAGATATTTTGTAGTTCTCTGAACTCTTGCACATTTGTCAGCATCTCATATATGGAATTCTCCCTACTTCCAATCCATTAATTTCAGAAATACCAACTGCAGCAGTGAAACTTTTTTAAGGTAAGTAAAAAATTGACAAGTCTTAAAGGAAAGAACAGCACCTGAAATCTTCAGGTACTTCACTTAAGAGATTTTTAAGTTAAAGTGATTTTGTTTTATACCAAACTACTGACTAAAATGCATTAAACTGACAAGAAAGTTTATCATATAATTCATTATTAATATGTATTATTATATATTATTGTAAATACCCTTAATTATTTGAATACAATCTCTTTAGTATGAAGCCACAGAATAGGATCTCTTAGAAAACTGATGACAACCATGTCAAAATTTTTCTTAATTAGCTTTCAGTTATCTTACCTAGTTCACAGATAATGGCTATACATGCTCGAACCATTCTGTCTCTTTCTTGAAGACCATCGTTTCCAACTGCTATCAAAGAATTAGTAATAGAACTGGGGAACAATGAAGCATTCACAGTGATCATCTGCCAAAATGAAAGAAAAAGCCCTCTGGTTTCTTCATAATATTTCTCTAAATATACTCACAGATTCACCAGCATTCTATTTCCTAGATACAACCAGACAGACCACTCTATATATGACTTGGTTGTATCTGGCGAATCCTCAGAACTGTTTCTTTGGTTCTTGAAATTCTTCATTTGTCATTTTACCATTCTCTTTCTGCTTCAGCTTTTTGTTTTCATATTATTTTATCATGACTGTTGCAGAGAGAACCATGGCTACTTTTTTCATATTTTTTTCCAGTAATTTCTTTATCAACAAAGAACACTATCCAACAACAAAAGAGTAGATTACAAACTCTTCTAGAAGGTTCATTCATCCTGCAGCAGATTCTTCAGTACCTATTCAACTGTTTAATTAGCCAAAACTCAAATCTCCTGTTTTGTAGAGATCCTGAGATTGTTACAGACTACAAAAAAGGACAGTCAACAGAAGCTGCTGTAGTATTGGAAGGCAACTGTCAGTAACACCCCTATATTCTCTTGCATAGTACCTGATACTTCCTAGAACTGCAGTGCGATTCAACTTCATCCTAAGTTATATAGCTATGGCACAAAACCACACACACCTTAAACATATTAAACTGAAAAGCAAAGATACACAAGAACAAGACCTGCGTCCATTAATCAAGTAATTCTTCAATTAAAAAAATTTACAATAACTTGAGACAGAATAGAAGAACAGATTTTTATAGCCAATGCTCATTTATACTACTGAAGAGGACTTGCACCATGGAAATCCTTGGCTGCTAGTTTAGGACAAGCAGAATTTACACCAGATTAAGGACCTAGACCCTGTGCACATATTAAAGGCAAAAAACCCCACTCCAAAGCAACCAAGCAATACCACCACCCCTCACTGTCCCACAAATGAGGCTTTGACTACAAAGGCTGAGTATGTTCATATTTTTTCACAGTTCGCAAGAATGAAATATGCATATCCTCTATACTATGGAAAATGAACATCACTAAATAAATGCATTACTAAGGAGGAAGTACTGTCTGACTGCTTAAAAAGGGAACCACGTAATGTGTTATAGCCCATTCAACCATGTCGCATTTTTTTTTACATCTCACTTTTATTTATCAGTAGAAAACAACCCCTCAATATCCATCAAACACCTAAAAACCTGAGGCTAGTTTTCTGAGGTTTTATTTAATATCCCTTTTGTTTCCAAAAAAAGCAGGCTTATGTTCATTATTTTTCCAAAATTGCTTTGTCCTATTTTCATTTTACTGCTTGCTTTGATGTCTTACAGACATTTGTTCAGACAAAGGAGATTAGTTGTTTTACCCTCTTTGCAGAGGTTGTTAAAATGAGAAGAGATCAAACATTATGACACATATATTTGAACACTTTAACAAGTTTATTTTTAAGATGTGTTTTTGAGAAACTTCTTGTCATACGAATGTTGTCACCCACAAAACAGGAAGCTTTAAGATAGGACTCTAAAGAAAAAACAAACTCTTCCCCACCCACACAGTCTTTCACTTTTACAATAGCACGAAGTAAGAAGAATTAGCAAGAGAATGGGTGTACTAATCCACTCTACAAAATTATAACCTTTTTTTCTACTGATATTGATACGTATTTAGTGTGAGGACACAAGCAGCCTCTTAAGGCTGTTCTGCTTCATTGTTTCCTTTGGCTTTAAGACATGAGAAGGAAAGATTTCTTCCTTTTAATATTCAAGTATGTCAGTAGAATAAATACAAACTTTTGCATTTGCTTTCATTCTGCTCTAGGTATTGAAATGCAGTTCTAAACACTGAGGACAGGTGATTCAAGGCTACTTACAAGCAGCTATGATGAAATAAGTAACAAAGACTATGAATTTATTCTTTCAAGATTCCTTTAAAAAAGACAAAGAAAGATGGCGAATCAAACTGTACCTAATCCTGGGTTCTTATACCTAGCCCCGACTTGTGCTTTGAAAAATAAAACATCCTGGCTATTAAATTATGAAAAAAAGTCTTACTGATTGCTATTAGATGGAAAAAGGCTTTCTGAAACAACTTTATGCCATCCTTGTCATGGCTAAAGATACTGCTAAATTGCAAAGCTCTTGTTAGGAAATGTAGAGGTGATTATAGTCAAAAGAGACAGCGAGCGCTCAAAGCATTAAAAAGAAAAAAAATCAGAAACAACGTTTAAAATGTTTGAAGTTGTCTTTATCTTCCTATATTACTTTAACCTGCACATTTTTTTAAACAAATTTATCATTAAATGCCTTTTAATCCTGTTTTATGAATTTATAATATTTTATATTTTGTTCCTCTATGAAAAGGAAGAGAAGAAAGCGAGAGAACGTTTCGAAGTTTTATATCTATGATACTCTTACATAGTCATTTTTGCTATCAAATATGAGGTTATCAACATTCTTCTGGTATTAAATCCAAAACACAGCACTATGTTAGCTACTATGAAGAAAATTAACTCTATCCCAGCTGAAACCAGGACAGAATTGCGTCCAGACTTTGAAACTGAAAAGAACAGTTCCATGATGCTGGTGGAAACCAGTTCCGCTACTCAAATAAATCATCACCTGCACAGATGAATTAACTCTGATTGTTTTATTTTCCATTTGTTCTCCCCTCCTAGACCTTTATATAATTCTTTTATAAATCCTGGTATCAAACCACTGAGTTTGAGATATTGAGGGAGATGAAGACTGATGGGAAAAGGGCAAGAGCAGGGTAACAAAAAGACAGTGTGAAAATACAGGATGAGCCATTCAGGGCTTGTGTCAGAGCATTCCTTGTGACAGAGACACAGAAAAGGTCTCAACTTTACTGGTAGTCAGGTTGGGTGGCTTTTTGTTTGTCTGACATTGTCTTTTAGGATGTTCTAGGTAGCAAAAGATGTTAGGAAACATCTAAGCATCTCTTATCAACATAATTCTCAGCATCAAAGAACCATAAGCATCCCTGTACAGCACGTACATTGCATGCATGTACATCCCATGCACAGCATCCTTGTACAATGATGGAGAACAAAAAAGCACTGGTGGTCAGTGGTATGATTTCTTAATGCTTACCTTTCAGGATCATTTTTTCAACTCAAACTAAGAGATTTATTTCTGTTGCTTCCTCTTGTTTCTTTCAAGCAAGACAGAAGTCTTTGGTCAACTAAAAAATCCTCAAAAAAGCCCAGGAATAACAGGGACAAATTTCCGATCCAAATAAAATCAGTTCATTATAAATGTGCTTCCATTCCATCTTCTGATTTAAGTTATTCTGGCTCTACATTGAAGCTCTTTTTCAAAGCAGATTAGCAAAGAACTTTCAGAAATTGTGACTTCCTCAAGGATCCATTCCTTTATAGGTAGTGGGTTTTGACTGTTTGGGTTTGGGGCTGATGGTGGTGTTTGAGCTCACTGAAGAAAAGAAATTGCATACCAAACTTCCCTATTTTCAACCTAAATATATGTGTGTGTGTATATATATATATAAATACATATACACACAAAACAGATTAAACACACATCACATAGTGGTCCTGGGGAACCATTCTTAGAAGTACTTCAAACTTTACTTGAGTCTTAGGTAGTTTTTCCTAAGATGCTCAGTAGAAGAATATAAGCACGATAAAGATTATTGAAACCCAATAGCAGAATACTACCACAACTACTTCCACCAATCCAAGGCAGAATACTATGCTGCCTGGAAAAAAACCCCAACAACCTTTTAGTAGCTGTATATGCCAATTTCTCTAGGATTAACTTGAAAATGCAGCTACCCCAGCTTCAAACATCTCACATCCATGGGTACACAGTACAGTAACCACCACAGACTATGTCTTATTGTGTACCTGAGAAAACAACTATGGACAGCATCAACCTCTACAGATAAAGCAATAACGCCAGAAGCATTCCTTCAACTGATTAATGGCAATTTGCCTCATTTCTCAAATGGCAGAAAATCTCCCATCCTTGGTTCACAGATGCTTAAACAAACAATACAATAAAGTTAAATCATTAGATGAAATTTAGTAATATGGTTCTTATACCCTTGCATTCACTGTGTGATAAGTTTTCCCAAATCTTGTCCAGTATGATCTCTACCAAAGGAAAATCAGCAGGATTTTTCCAGCCTGCTAGAGATTCTCAGTGGTAAAATATTAAAAATCAAAACAAGTCTCAGAACTACCCTTCCTTCCGCCTTTTGAATTATCAGCTATAATTTCTTCTCACATCATAAAGTAAGGTAAGGTATTAGGGACTGTGCAAAAAAAATGGTTGATGGAGAAAACTGGGCATCAGCATAATGGACTGGCATAGCTGATAATACCATATATAGTTAGATTTTACCTTTCTGACTAATCGAAGTGCTTGTGTTCTTTCTACTTCATTACTCTGCTGTATGTCGATGCACCTAAAATAAGTTAAAAAACACATTTTGCTTATAACAACACTAACTTCCACCTTAACTTAATTAACATCATGCGTTAGTATTTATGCAACTGAATAAAGAGACAAAAATTATTATTATGACTGATTGTTTAAAAATTCTGCCTTTCGGAAAACATCTTCATTATGATTGGTCAATTAGCTTCAGTTTATATTTTTTCAATTATCTTCATTATAATTAAGTCACTAGAATGTTCTCAAATATACAATGGCAAGGCATAATGGCTTCAACAAATATTTTCTGAGCTAGCTGCATTTGTCATTTCAAATGAGACTAAACAAAGTGCTTGTTAGATTTCACATAAACCTGTTTTGTATGTGTTCTCAGATCAGAAAAGTCCTTTTGCTCCAACAAAATTAAACAGCACACTAAAACTGACTATGTGTGTATAAACAAACACACATCTATATCAGTATATTGAATCCAACAAGATTTTAACAAAGGAATTACTAGAAATACTAACATTTACATCTACTCATCATGCTGATCTTAGTGTGTCATTGTTAGTCTGCCCTTTGGTATTCTTCTGCTGTCTCATGGGTTATACTTAGATTACAAATTCTTGTGCATGAACTACTTTTTAGCCCTGACTTTGTACTAGAGGCTGCAAAGCGCTATGCTAATACAAAGAATCAGAACAACTCCCAGAAAACAATTTAAGACAAGAAAATAAATGATGTTTCAACCTTCTAATAACACCACAGATTAATTAATTATTAATGGCACTTATGATTGAAAAATACAGAATTTTTTTAGATTACTCACAGTATATCATATATTAGGACAGCAATTTATTGGATTACTTGGTGTGATATGTTATTCTTCTATTTTTAAAAGACTTTATTCATATTGATGAAAAATTGCTTTTATAGAACTCCTTATCAAGAATGCAAGAGGGTATGAAAACACCTCACCTTTCTCAACCATGAAAAAGCAAGTGATTCACAATTGTGTGATTTACAACAAGAAGGAAAAGAAAAATTACCTGGCTATCAAGTAATCCACTTTCAACTTCAGCACCTTCTGGAGAATACTGGAGTCTCGAATGAGATAGCGGAGGGCTCGCAATCCTGCTGCTCGCACCTCTTTAGCTTCATTTAGTAAAGCTAACCTCAGACTACAACGAAGAAAACAAGGAGGACAAATATTTATTCAGCAGCAGGTAAACTTCACCATCTGACATGCAGCTACTACCTACTCATTTAAAATAAAAGTCTGATTTTTAAAAAAGAAATGTTGTGCATTAATTTTCTGTCTTTGAGGTATTCACCGGCACAGACTAGAAGGCAAACCTTCACTCCGCCAGGAGATGCAGACAATATATTAAATGCAAAAAGCCACAAACCATTTTTTTTCTCCAAAGAACAGCTTGTAGATCCATGAAATGATAAATGACCAAGACCTGTTGACGATTTGTTATTTGACAAAACAGCTGAGAACAATATTGGTCCAAGAAAATTGAGGTGCAGAGAGCATTTCCTCCTCTGCTAGACTGTAAAGCCATGAGTCCTCAGAACAGTGTCTTGACACCTAACAGACAAATTTGCACCTTAAGTAATTGTATGTCCCACTCACTAAAGATATTATGGTACCATGTTATGTTTACATGAAATATGATAGAGTCATAACTTAAGCAGCCCCACACAACACAGACTTCTACAGATTTCATTTTAACACATAACCAAAACATACTTCTCTTTAGGTGGATTTTGAAAGCATTTTTCTCCCACAGAGGTGAGCTTTCCTAAACATAACTGCCATCACAATGTAATTTCCTAAATTCACTATCTAAGAAACAAGATACTGAAGGCCTCCAGAGACAGAGTCTCAAAGTATTAAGTGACACACTTTTGAAGGCCTCAAAAGATTTGCCCCTTTTCCTTTATTACACAAGGGGGGAAAAACCCCCAACCTCTCAGCAACGTATTTTAGTAGGATTCTTTCAGTGGACATCTAAGAAGGTAAATACTTCAGCCAGTGAGACTGAATTTCTACCTATACAAATGGATTTTTTTTTTTCTTTTCTTATTCTAGGATCATCATGCATGGTAATCAGCTACTCCAAGGCCAAAAACCTTCTGACTCTTTCTGGAGATTAAATCGGCCTGCATAAATAAAGATGAACTGATTATTACTTTCAGCACGAAGTTGGAATTACTTCAGAAGACCATCTTTGCTGTAGTATCAAATGTCATTCTTCACATAAAAAGAGTGCCACTAATTGCCTTTATTTACTTTAAGCTGAGCTAGAAGCAAATAAGAAACAGATTCTCAACACTGAGAGGTTAAGAAAAATTCTTCCTCTAACAAAAGCTGTACTAGAGAAGAGATTTATTTCCAAGTCATTCAAGAAAAGCAGACAAGTAACTCTTCAATTGTGCTGAGTAGATAATACGTATTTTTTAGACCACGAATCAAGCTTTGTTTCTAGTTTTGCAGCTTTGGAGAGATGGAAGTCTGAGGGATGAGCACATAAGACTCAGTTCTACTCAATGGTATTCTTCTATTTGGACTTTTACCTCACAGTTTACAATTGGTTTGGATACGCCTGTATAAGACACTTCAGCAGAGTTTCCTTTTAGGGCAGAAGTTACCCATTATTCATGCAAATGGTTTTGTTGCTATCCATGATATTTATTAGGACAGCCAAATACCCAATCTGGATTCGTTTCCCCTCATCAAGTAAAGCGCATTACTTTTATATTTGAGGGGAAAATGCTCCTTGAGCAGCAGACCAAAACAATCTTTAAACAAATAGTTTCTCAAAAGCAATCAATGCTTTGAGAACTAGCTTGTATTACAATTCACAAGAGGAGGATATTCTTAATTTGGAGACAGAAGTTAACTTAAGAATTGGAAACAGTGAAACTACTACAAAGGACAACACTATCATGAGATTCAACATCCAAAAGCAGAAGGTACCAAAAAGGGATGGGTCGCTATCTTTAAATAGTGAGAATGCAACAAAAATGTATAGCTAGCCAGAAAGATAAAGACCTAAAATAAAGGCCATAAAAATTCGTAAAGATCCAATGAAAGTAATGACATATAGAAGGCTGAACAAAAATCTCTCCATAAAACCCCAAAACTAAACAAAACCACTCACCAGTCAATGACTGAACTGCAAAAATCGGAGAGAATCCTGACCTTATAAAGGCAATGAAGATACACAACGGCAGGCAGAAAACAAAAAAATGTAGGAAAACCTATATGTGTGTGTCTGTATGTGTCTATGTGTTCTGACTTCTCAACTGTACCACAAGGAGAAAACTTGAAAAAACAGAATCGGACCCACTGGAAAACCCAAAAGGAAAAGGAGAAGGAATGAAGCAAAACAAGATATTGACAGAGGTATGACAGAAACAAGCATTTTCTTCTTGGACGGAGAAAAGGCGATAAACAGGTCTATATAAGGATTCGAAAGGGCATCCAAAGGACTGTTTATGATCTTAAAATAAAATCACATTAAAATAAAACTGGCTAGCCATGTGAAATACCCGGTAGAGTTTATACAAACTATATTCTACTAATCTTTTGAAAGACTGGAAAGGAGTTATTACAGCAGTGTATAAAAAGGCATAACGTGTTGCTGAAGACTGTATTAAGGGTTATAAAGAGATTATACAGTAATGAAAAGTAGTTTCACAAATCAAACTCTGAAAAGATGAATTCAAAGAGCAGGGCTGAATGGAAGATACTTATCCTGACAATTTTTTTATCCTGGTTCTTATCCAGGTTCACAATCTCCTTTTGTAGGCAGTATTTAGTATATGATTCTTGATTTGGAAGAAGTGGAGGGGGGTGGGGGTGCAGAAATACAGACAGCAAGATAGTTCATATTTATGAAAATAGGACGAGATTATGAAAAACTTCAAGGAACTTAAAAATTAGCTGTATGCATAGTTAACAAGATGGTAAAGAAAATTTAAGATCGTTAGATGTGACTTAACGCGCATCAAGACAAAACCTCTGTTATAAACCCATACCACGTGATTCTAAAATAGCCATCAGATCAAGAAAATTATTTTCATATGCACACTCCACATGCATCTGTGGCTGAAAGTGCCAAAAAGCCATCATGATTGTGTAAGAAAAAAAGTGTAATACTACTTGCCCCAGTATTTTAAGTGTCACTGCAGATTAAGGCCGATAAACATTAAGGCTGATAAAAAGTCTGGAAGAACTAACAAAGGATGGAACAAGAAAGGATACTCACTACCTAATACACAATCATCTGCACACCTTTTTCTAAAGCATCTCCTCCATTCACTACAGAAAGATAACCATGATTTCAACAAATCTGTGTGATCCAGTCAGGTAATTGAAGATTTTCTGAATTTTGCTTTTATGGCCAAAGCCTCTTGGCACAGTACTAAAAGACCTCAAAAGTTTCTGAGGCCTACCAACACTCCATTTTCTTCATGGGTCAAGGCTTCCTCTCATCTGTCAATGGCATGGTGCTCTGGGAACCAGGAAGACCCATCTACACTGGGAATGACAACAAAATGTGTCACTATTATCTCCATCTGCTGGCAGGAAGAAACTATAATCAGGCACCTGGACTAACAAAATTCTAAAAAGAGAATGAATTCTAAAAGACATCTCTCAACTTGAGAGTAATTGCAGTTATTGCAGACTGTAACTGTCTTTGGTTTGGGTAAATATCCTATGAAGGTTACTGACCCCAAAAACTAGAACTTCATAGGAAATCATTGATTCCCTTACAGTTTAATGCTTTAAGGTTAACCATTCATTCTCCACAAATGCAGAAAACTCACAAATTTCTTTCATCCAAATAACTTCTCATGTTTTCAAAGAAAAACCAAGTTTGTTCTGTGGAACAAAAAGGTTCTCCTATGGAAATCTAAGATAACGTTGGGAACATCAGCAGAGCAAGTTACAGAACATGCATGCTATTTCCAAAGGAATAGATGTACTTAGCCTACCTGAATGTAATTTCCAAAATTTTAATTAAAGTTCTGTATTTGCTAATTACTCAGAATGGCTATATGCCAAAATAATCTGCAAACAGAATACTACTGCAGAATGGCTATAACTCTGTAGAGCAAAACTTTTTAATTTGCCCAAAAAGTCTGTATTTCATGAAAAAAAAAAATCCTATAAATATTTCTGAATAACCACCCATCAGCATGATTATGGTTGTTAAAATGTGAATATTTGAGTGGTATCCCTAAGTTTGAAAATAATCACTATAGCAGAATAACCTAGAAATATGCATTAAAAAATTGCTTCTCATGTACATAACCAAGAACCATTGAACTGACCGAAGTAACGACACTCATGAAGATCATGTTCCTGCTATACATGTGCCTATTTTTCTGAGGAGCCATTTTTGGCATTTTTCTAACTAGGGTGTTATTTTTCATCACGTGTCTGCTAAGAAGAACATTTTTATCTCTTCCTTATCAATGTCCATAATTGTGTTTGGATTAGGAGATCTTTCTGCAAACTTCTACCTATAAAAACAAACACTACTATTTGCATAACCTTTTAAGATGTGTATTTAAAAATATTTGGTAAAGAACTCTGAATTCTGAAGTTACGCTCTTAAGTGATGTTAAGTCCCATCATAAAGCACTGTAGTAGATTACATAAATAAGATCAGAAGATGATAACCTATTAAAGCTTACAGCAAAACACACTTTCACAAAAATATACTAACATTTTTTAATATTTTACTTCTAGCAAGTTCTATTTAAGAAAACAACTTACAATACTTGCACGAGAAATTACACAAGTTTCCCCAATATTTTACTTAAAGAGTGACTTAGGAAAGCTTGCTTTCCTAAGACAGATAACTAAACTGAAAGAACACTAAATCATATTAAATACTAATCTTTGTTGTTCCTGCCACCAATGCTGAGCCTCAGGACAAATTTACCAATATCCATGTAAAAACACAGAAGTTCTGGAAATAAGCATGTGGTTACTTTTGACTGTCAGAAATGGCAATAAAACATAGGAAAATTCCACCTGCAAGTATATACACAGGGCGTTTTAGTAGCACGTAAAGCAATGCCACAAAGACATATACACACATCAAATTAACATAAAATGTTCATCTTTGATGATTTTACATCAAAAGTATGCTCTAAATTCTGTGGGTGCACATTTTTACTAAAAGTGCTTTCTGCTAGTACCAAGATATTTAGAGGTACTTTTACATCTGTGAGGCACATAATAAAGAAATCCACACTTTTAACTTAGAGGTTTTTTCCCCCTCTCTTTGCCCAAAAGCAAATAATGTATTTCTGATTTTATTCATTAAAATATTTTTAATACGTATGTTTGCATTACGAAATTTCAAACACATGAAGAAATACAAAATACTAGCTCAAAGTACAAATAAAGTTTAATTGCACCTAGAACAATTAAAGTACCCTAGTATTGCTCCAGAGCTCCTTACTACTTACCATATTATGATGCTGTCATATGTAAACCCTAGCTTTTCTTCAGCATGGCCAGTATTACAAAGAAGCTGAAAATAAAAGAAAACATCTATTATTTATAACTCTTTAAAAAACACTATGTAAAACTAGGTTTCTGGCAATGCTTTCAAAGAAACCTGAGGAATTTCATTCATGGCAAGGGGAAGCCTACCAACTTTAAACTTCCCTGAGAATTTCTGCTGCCAGTATTCTGTTCCTATATATGCCAGACACACACAACTCTGTGGCCTCTCACACTAGAGAAAAGCTTGCACAATTGGGTAAGCTGCCCAATTTTCAACTCTACTGAAGTCAAAGCACTTCTGCATTCAAAAAGAGGGCTCAGGTGAGAGCTTTGAAGCAAAGATTGACACTGATGGTCCACTGTCACCTTTTGCCACAGCAGCACAGGCCAGAAAGAAAAAAAAAAACAAACCAATAGGCAGGGCCTTGCCAATGGTAAGTGTCCTGAAACTGACATTTGGCCTGGCCTGCCATAAATACCATAGAACCAATTCTGAACACTTTAATCATATCTATCCATTTTGAACACAAAAGTAAAGATTCACAAGTGCAGTTTTTATGTCCAAAAGGAGCAATCTAGTGCATGCCTATGTTTTAGCCTCTTGAGGCAACGAAAACAGTCTCTTCTGTAACAAGAGCTGATGCTGTTTTCCTTCGCAAGAGCAAAGAAGTTTCTAGCAATCTCAATTTACTACCCCTACATAAATTATAAAATGCTTCATTATCACATCCAAATCCCAAAACACGATTCCAAGCACTTCCAAAACGCCAGTGACTAATACTGATTGCAATAGCTTTGCACTTTGTCCTCTCTTTTCAAAACAGGCATGTGTTCAATTCTGAGCCAGCACAATACTAAGTTTCTCCTCAGTGAGGAATTCAGGAAGTGTTTGTGCTTACTAGTGAACAGCCCACTCTGAAAGTATTAAAATATAGAAAAGCCTGTGTCATGTTCTTTGTATGTATGTACTGCTAACAACAACAATTTTTAAACAAACAGTTAAATTAAGGCTACTGCAAACTAAACTATTTAACATGTTCCATGCTCCCATTCCACCGTTCACCTCCACCTGAAAAAACAGCATATTGCACAGAAACTCTGCTTTTAAGTAAACCCATTTCATTAGCACGATGGTTTAAATTCAAGCAATACTTATGTTTATGCTCAATGGGTATAAATTCTTCCAAGGATCACATTACATTTAAAGAAATTATTTTTCATATTGCGAGAAAAATGCATAGTGATAATGCTGAAATCTATTATAAAGTTGTTCATGAGACAGATTATTAAATTGGCTTGGATCAGCTCCACATCTGGGCTCAAATAATCTAAGCTAGTTGAAGCCGTTCAGATTTTGCATTTTTCTTAACAGTGGCTATAACAAAAGATGATTATAAAACATAAGGAAAATTTTTATATAACCTCTTTTCCTCCACCTTTCAAATTTAAGTGATAACAGAACTAGACAATTGGTGCATTAACTGGTTATGACAGTATGTCACTTCCTAGCATCAATCTATTTTTATTCCATGTTGTTGGACTGCCTAAGGCCACCACTGCTGCTTTAGCATTTCTATTGACATCTTATGAACTGTAAAAATTGGCTGGCAGAGTGTAAGCAAAACAGTGTGAGAAGATAGTGAGTAAAAACAGTTCATTGTTCAGTTTTGGACAAGTACATCAATAGATTTTTAGGATCATCACTTACACACCTAAACCTCTCCCCATCATTCCACCCCAGACACAAATGAGAAATCCTAATTTAACATACCAGATTTTTAAGGTAGGAAAAAAGATTGTTGAGGATAAAGTCACGTATTTGTCATTCTGATGTAAGAAAAAACATTTTTTTGAGAAAGCTGCTATTGTGTGCACTAGCGCATTTCTGAAGTGAGTCTCCTATCACTGCATTTACCATTGGTTTGAAAGGTCCTGAAATGAAACTAAAGCATATGACGTGTTTCAGGAACCTGCGTAACTTGCTGCAATTGCTAAAGAGCATTCAGTTCACAGGACCAGCTCTAGTCTAGTTGTCAGCAAGCACTCTTACCAAAAACATATACTGTGGTTCTGAGCTCCTCAAAAACCAACTGTTTTCCTCTATGTATGTGCACCACTGTGCACACCCTCACTGATGTAGAAAGAAACTTCACCTTATCTTGAAACTCAAACACAGTCATGTAACCTGACAATAGTTATAACTTTCGAGTTTAACCGCTGTGTGGATACAAGTTTCTGAATGTGATGATAATTATTATCAAAGTGTTTGATCATGTCTCCATTTACATGTAAAATATTTCTCACAGAGAATGAACAGAAAAATTGGCTGCAAAAAGTAAGTACAAGATTAGTAACTTTAGCTATTAATTTACTCTCATCACAGTGGGCCACCATTACTTACATATTGGCTTTCTTTGCAACTTACACAGTAGTGTGCTTACAGGATTACCAGCTAGAAAAGAATTTAAAAGATGGACAGCAAAATCATAATTCAAAATGTTTTAGTGATATGAAAGGAATGCCCAAACTCAGGAAGAAAATTCAATTAAATACAAGGAATATCATATCCTTCATGGTACTAAAATTAATAGGGGCCATTTCCCCTAGCCCTATCGGGCAGGAGTGTCGATCTGCTCAAGCAGAGGAGAGCTCTGCAGAGGGATCTGGACAGGTTGAATTGATGTGCCAAGGTTTAGCATGAGGTTTAACGAGGCCAAGTGCCAGGTCCTGCACTTGGGTCACAACAGCCCCTTGTAACGTGACAGGCTTGGGGAAGACCCCTCCCGCTGTAAGAGAAGATCAGGTTTGTGACCACCTGAGGAACCTGAACGCACATAAGTCCATGGGACCTGATGAGATGCATCCCAGAGTCCTGAGGGAATTGGCCGATGTAGTCACCAAGCCACTCTCCATGATATTTGAAAAGCCATGGCAGTCAGGTGAAGTCCCTGGGCACTGGAAAAGGGAAACACTTGTGCCCCTTTTCAAAAAGGGTAGAAAGGAAGACCCTGGGAACTATCGACCTCCCAGCCTCCCCTCTGTGCCTGGGAAGATCATGGAACAGATCCTCCTAGAAGCTATGCTAAGGCACATGGAGGCCAGGGAGGTAATTCGAGATAGCCAGCATGGCTTCACCAAGGGCAAGTCCTGCCTGACCACCATAGTGGCTTTCTATGATGGTGTGACACCAACAGTGGACAAGGGAAAACCAACAGACGTCATCTATCTGGACTTCTGCAAAGCCTTTGACGCTTTCTCCCACAACATCCTTCTCTCTAAATTGGAAAGCTATGGATTTGATGGGTGGACTGTTCAGTGCATGAGGAATTGGTTGGATGGTTGGATCCAGAGGGTAGTGGTCAATGGCTCGATGTCCAGATGGAGACCAATGATGAGTGATGTCCCTCAGGCATCCATACTGGGACCGGTGCTGTTTAATGTTTTCATCAATGACATAGCGAGATCGAGTGCACCCTCAGCAGGTTTGTAGATGACACCACGCTGAGTGGGGCAGTTGACACACCAGAAGGACGGGATGTCATCGAGACCTGGACAGGCTGGAGAGGTGGGCCTGTGTGAACGCCACGAGGTTCAACAAGGCCAAGTGCATGGTCATGCACCTGGGTCAGGTTAACCCCCAGTATCAATACAGGCTGGGGGAAGAAAGGATCAAGAGCAGCCATGCCAAGAGGGACCTGGGGGTACTGATGGACGAAAAGCTGGACGAGCCGGCAATGTGAGCTGGCAGGCCAGCAGGCCAACCCTACCC